AATGGAGACAAGTACCACTAAATCAAATGTGTCACTTGTTAATTGTGATGTGAATCAATGGCTTGGAAATTGAACTTAGCCATCATAAATCCAAGATCCAAGTTAGCCAAACCAAATCTAGAGGCTCGCAACTATAAGGCTTCAAAAGCATTGGAGCCCATAGGACAAGATTGTAAATAGTAGGGAACCGAGGGTTAGTTGTTAAAATCAAGTGATCCCGATCGGAAAAGGATCCCGAGGATCATTTTCTTGGGAATCTAGGAGATCATATGATCATAATCGTTCACCGTACACCGTGTGATAAAAAATTATTTTAAAATTAAATATAAATGGTACTTAACGAAAACTGACTGCACGATATACTATAAACAATCATGATCACGAAATCTCCAAGAAAATGTTCTGGCAAGATCCCTTTCCATCCAGCTCCATCCCAAGGGGAATGACATGGCACTTTGGCTGGCAGACATGGTTGGTGGCTCAACTTCCAATAGGACCTGGATTGTCTGCCCTTCCCATCCCATACCATTTCCATCCCCTTCTATTTATGTGGTTTAAACCACATCAACATTTTATATTCCTATTATTTTTGTCTTATTATTTCTATAAAAAAAAAATAATATAAAATATTGATGTAGTTTAACTATAACCACATAAATAAAAAAAAATAGGAAGAGTATGGGATGGGAAGGACAAACAATCCAGATCCCTTCCAATATATCCTCTTCAACGGCTTTACTTTATTGATGCCCCTACTATTACAGAGATTAATTGCTCTGCTCCTCACCTAAAATACCCCTATTAGAGTCAAGGTACTACAACAATGTCATTCAAGTAAAACTTAAATGATACCAGTCGCAACTATAAGGGTGTACTCAAGTAGATTATCGTTCCGAACCGCACCATATAAGTTGCTTTATTAAAGTAAAATATAAGCCGCAAAAGTATAAAGCCTAAAATATTATCCTACACTGGTATAACTTCATGTGAAATGCTTTCTAATAACTCAAATTCTCGAATGGTAAAAAATGTTAAATTGGATCAGCTGACCCTCCAATCTCCGAGAATAATGTAAGTTGCATCCCTATTGGTTATTAATAAAATAACAGTGACATCATATGTTAATAATGCTTACCTTTATACTATTAGTACGACAAGCTAATGACGATAAAACCATGCCTTTACCCATATGCTTTCCACTTTCCCATTTACCCTAAATTGGTCTTCACGTGCCCACAATTACTTCTGTCTCCCAAATTCCCAATCCTTAAATCTCCAAAAATACCCACACACACTCACTACCCTCACTCTCTCCCTCCGCCTTCTAAGCCATGAAAAGAAGACGACGAAAAACACCCAGCAAATCCCAACACCACCGCCATTCTCTCCGCCAATCTGTCTGAACTCAAACCCAGCAGAAACCCAGCAAACCAAAATGTGCTATGTGGGGAAAGCAACAAAGATCTTCATTTTTGTGGTGACAGTGCTGGTGGTACTTGGGCTGGTTTTGGGATTTGGGGTTCTCCGCCACGGCCTCCATAAATCCCACAAATGCTCCGCCGATTCGGATTCCTGCCGCCCTCTTTCCTCCCCACCAATTCAATTCCCTAACCCCAATTCCGGTTCGAACCAGCCCAGCCCACCATATTCCGATCCAACTCTGACCCAGCCCAGCCCACCTAACCCCAATTTCAACCCGCCTCCTCCGCCTAACCCTGATTTGACCCCGTCTCCGCCGACATCAATCTCAACCCCGCCTCCTCCAACTCCGCAGACATCACTTCTAAGCCCACCTCCGCCGACATCAATTCTGAGTCCACCTCCGCCTAACCCAACTTCCAATCCGCCATCTTTTCCGCCGCCTCCGCCGGCTACAACGGCGGCGCCGCCATTCAGTCCGCCAAGTGAGGCCCAGGTGACTCCAAGTCCTGCCCGTGTTTAGCTGCAATCTGATAGTACAAGTTCAAATTTGGCCCAATTTGTTAGATATTTTGGAAAGCAGCCGTTCTTATTCTTTGATTCATATTCTTGGATTGATGATCAATGGGTTGGGTTGGGTTGGATTGGATTTGTATATAAGATGTTTAGTGGATAGATAAGAATAAAACATCGACGTCATATCGATCACAAGATAGCATCATTTGTCGTGCAATTCGAGAGTTTTAGTCAATTTAGACAGTCTCGGTCAGTGTAACAGTGTTTCTTTCTTGTACTATGAATCAGATGACTACTTTTTTTCTTTCTTGTGTGGATTTCGATGTGTCCGTATGCCCCTTTGTCAATCAGGTTGACTGCGTTGCCCTACTGCTACAATATTTGCTTTTTCTTTTTCACATTGCAGTTTCTGTTTTTTATATACGTCGGGAAATCAGATTTTTAGATTAAATTTGTAAATTATATAATGTGATATTAATGAGAAATAAGCACGTTAATTAATATTAATGTAATAATTTAATTATTAATAATCATGTTATTGTTTTACAAAATTTAATCTAAATAATTAGTCTTCCTACCATACTGCCTTGATATATCAATAGTTTGTAAATAACCATCAACAAATATGTCAATACCATTAATGGAGAGTTTTGTGAAGGAAAATACTTGCATCCGTTTTATATAATGCATCGCATTATTCATTTTTTGTGACTAACGTATTTTGACGCTATAAATATTGTAATCGGAGCCACTTATATTCTTAATCCTCCTTTAAAGATCATATCTATAGAATATCAACCAAAGAAAATATGATTTAGTTATCTATATGATTGAACAAACAAACAATGTTGAGCTCAATAACAAACTCATGATGAACCATCTATTTTCACCAAATAGCCCTTATAATTCAACTTGTTATTTACAAAAAAGTATAGATAGTTTGTAAACAACCATCAAGCAATATGTCAATACTATTGATGCATAGTTTGTGTAAAGGAAAATACTTGCATCCATCCAAGGTTCTAAAATGCACTAGTCGTGACACGTTCCGATCCCGATATTCTTCTAATATCAAGATGGGCACGTGTTGGCCGACACTCGAAGGAAACGAAGTCATTTTTAAAATGCCTACAAATAAAATATGTAATCAAAATGAAAATGCTAATGCAGGAACATGTTCAGAGCATACAAATAAATAAGAATAATATGAAAGAATTATAATCAAAGGTATGAACGAAGGGAAAAGTCATACACTGAGAAGACTCGAATATATCTTTGTGGACAGATAGTGTGCCTCGATTCTAACTCCTAAAGGGGCGCAAAAACAGAAAATGTGAGTGGACCAAAGTTTACATTAATACTAATAATAGGAAAACCATTTTCTTTAAGAACATACTAACCCTCCGTTTTGAAAACGCATATATATAATACTACATAGTAGTTTCTGAAAACTCTACATGCCATGACAACGTTCATAAAATCAGTATGTATAAAACCGTGCTCAGAAATGATAATATAACAGCCCGAAGGCAAATCCGTAAAACCTCTGTAAATCACATCAATGTTGTACTCTCTAGGGGTATCATAGTCGCCCGAAGGCAGTACATGTCCATCACCCGAAAGTGAAGTTGTACGACACTAGGTTACGCCAGTGAAGAAACATGGTAGGCCCCATCACCCAAGGATGAAGATGTACGACTTTGGATTACGCCAGAGAAGAAATATATAACATCACACACTGACACTAGCCATGACTAATGAAACTGTCCGACACTAGTTTCGCCAAGTGAAGCTAGGGATATGGCATAAATATCTCACACCTCATTCGCCTGAAGGCAGTACCTGTCCATCACCCGAAAGTGAAGCTATACAACTTCGGGTTACGCCGGAGAAGAAATATATACATAGATATCTTCAATTGTGTCCTATGGCTATAGACGTCTACATGCCCGTGTTGTGTGGATGTTTTGTATGATAACCCGCTAGATAAGTACCAAAAACATATCTCAAAATATCATCTCAAATTCGGAGCTCAAAAGCTCAAAGTCTCATCTCATAACTCCATCATAACTCATGTTCATAAACCGTAAATAAATCGTATCCACAAATCCATAGAATTTCATCTACGAAAATCCAATAATTTATAACCTTTCGAAAACATAAATTCGATAAATCGTAATTATCTCGTAAAAGCAATTTAAATAAATCATAATTTCTCTGTAAATCATAAATATAAAAATCCACAAAAACAACTTGGGTTTGATGGGGAAATAAAGATGGGAGGTCTCTGAGTTGATTTATGGTGGTGAATGGTTGCAATTTGCCGGAAAAACCAAAGAGAAACCACTGAAAAAATTGAAGGGAATCCGGTCGAGCCACGCGGGTCAAGGAGAACCCGGTCGGTTCCTCTCATTCTATCATCCCTTCTTTCCTCTTCTCTTCCTCTTTCCTGATTGAGTAACCTCTCTTCTCCGTCCATCTCTCTCTTTTCATCCTTCCATCCTAGCCACACACGTGGCACTAGATTGATGCTCCAACAAATCTGGAGCCTTCCAGATTTATGGTCAAATGACCATTTTGCCCTCTACTTCAATCGTTTATAACTCTTTCGTTATAACTCCAAATTCGATTCCGTTTGCGCCTACATGTCCGTAACGTTGAGTACTATAAGGATACGCTAAGGGAATAGATCTTACATGACACGACATGGCAGTCAACAATAGCCAACGCATTTGCTTCGAAGGGCATTTTCGTAATTTCACATTTTAAAATTATAAAAAACGTAATTTTTTTGGGGTTGTGTTGTTGCAAGTCGGGCGACGGGCATGAACCGAGTGCAAATTTGTCCAATTTGTCCAACTGTAGTCAAGTAAAATTGGATTTTTAGTTATAGCTTGAACATTGTATATGGTAAACACATTGACTGCACAATGAATTTGTTTTCCAAATGCAAAAGGAAGCAATCATAAAATTGGAATAAAATCCTGAGGAAATTTTGTCACACTGAAAACACAATTGAATACATTTTTCATGAACAATAACGTAAATCTTCCTTGCTTAAAACCCTAGTGGGCTAGCAACAACATGATCACAACATTGAACCCCATAGTGAGACTGATCGGGAGACCGCCTTTGTAGTTCGATGATGATGCAGAAGGTTTCCCTGAAGACCCGGTTCGAGAAATGGAAGTAGGAGCTTCAATTGAAGGAATGTCAGTAGGGTTTGATGCAGGACTGATGTGCAATCCAGATGGCAAAGTAGGGGGCAATGTGGGAGCATATTGTGGTACCGATTTTGCTGGCGAGGCAATAGAAGTTTCTAAAGCCAAACTAGGAGTCTCCGACGAAGATGATGGAGCTGAAGGAGATTCTAGTGGGGAAGGGCTTATAGGAGAAGCTGTTGGTGTGGCAGAAAATGCAAGAGTGTTGACTTCAAGCTTCATTCCTTGACTACAATGTCCAATTGTTCCACAGATGAAGTACCTTTTGCCTGGAGAAGAGAGAGGAATTGTAGTGCTTCCCCCAGTGTAAGACTGAATTGAGTTACTTGCTTGGCAAGAATCATAGTCTGCCTTTGGCACTTCAATCACATCATGGTTTGGTGAGTACTGAAAATCTGGATTCATACAAAAGGTATGTGTTAATTAGTAGAGGAAAGTATATGTGAGAGTTAAAATTGGGAAATATTATTAGTATTTCAAAATCATCATCACACAATCTTCTCTTTCTTAACTGTATTTTTATTACTAAGGACTGCAGAATGACTATTGAAATGTGCGAATATCAGCTCCTATATTATAAGATATTGGCATTCAGCATCTTCGAGTATGAAAATAACTTACTGAGATTATCTCCGACTAAGAATGATTGCGATGATGCCCATGTCTGAAGGTCAGTACTCGAATCCCACGCGCCGTTTGGACCTCCGACCATGTAAGTGGCTGCCATGGCCAATTCTATGAGCATGGTCACAACAACCAAGCTCATCAATGTTGTTCTTGGAGCTGCCATATTTTGCTTAATTAGTTATGAAGGGGCGAAGAAGTTGAAGGATAGAATGAAGAAGTAGAGAGAGTCGACCACGTAGATATAAATTTAGGCACTCCATGTATATAGACGCTGAATGAAAAAGGAGAGACATTTGAAAGTGAAGATAATATTAATTTAGGGTATAGTTGTTTTAGTTGGTCAAGTACCATGATGATTAGGCAAGGACAGGTTGTAGATAACATATTGAAGTAAATAGTTCAAATTTTTCTTTTCTTCTTTTTAACGAATACATAATTGAAATCTATGGACAATTAAAGGTGTAGATAAATTTTAATGTGTATCGTGGTGTATCATTTCATGTGTTATAATAATTAAGTGGATGAAAATGTTGATTTATCATACTTTTAGACAATGGCAGAGCCACTATGGGACCAGAATGATCCTTGGCCGATCTTGCCATTTGTTTTTTCTTGCTATACCCTTAAAATTCCAGTGTGTTCTGAATCCACACTTTTCCATTCCAGGTCTTGCCTCATTTTTCTTTCAATCTCTCTTATTGCGGTGCAGTCTTCATTTCTCCTCCTTATTATATCAACTTTTCTTTGGCTTTAACTTATATTTTGAAAAAATTCTTGCTTACTCTTTACCTCATACTCGAGTTTTTGGGTTTGTGCAATGTTTTTAGTTTTCAATTATTATGTAAATTACTCCAATCTCATATGTTCTAAGTTCAAATTACTTATATTAATAAAAAACAAACACACGTGTTATCATTTGAGTTGAATAACACCCTTACGTGGTGGTGTTACAACTTACAACTACGCCGAAACAGAATCTGATGGTTAAATTTTGTTAACAAAAACAAAAAAGTAGACCTGAAAAACAAAAGAGCGAAGCCAAACTTATGCAATGGAGTGGTTTATGGCTTCCACGTTGAAGGGTTAATGGACAGGGTGGCTAACTTCATCTTCATGCATGTTTAGTAGGTATACATCGATTCACCTAATCTACTAATCCAACCCAGCAGAATGTTAAATAAGAAAAATTATGAAGCTTTCCATGACGAGGTCCATTGAAATAGTGACACGTTTCATTTCCAAATGTCTGAACACAACTAACCAAACCAAGCATCCATATGCTCTCTTTCAAGAAAAAGATTCATAAGAATTACGAGGATGCAGCCCCGATGAGACCCCGTGCAAAATTACGAAGAGATTGTAGCAACTTTTTACATGTTATAATAAGAATGAACTACATAATCAATACGTCTTATTTTAAGATATATTAACAAAATAAATTTGCGTGTTATAATTTATGTAAAATAATAACGTCCCGTAGTCATATTTCATCTATATTAAAAAATTCCTTTTGAAAACAGATCGAATGTATGGATGTACTACTCTTGAAAATGAAGAATGTCCACGTATTCTAATACAAACTTTGAGCAGCTACTGAGATTCGCACGTATAGAAGAACATGAAAGTAATAGCTTAACCAAATTCTGGTTTGGTTTACCAAAAATAAAAGGTTCACCAAATTTTGGTATGGTGAACAAGATTTCAAGCAATGGGGACAGGAGAACTGAATTTGTAGATACTATGTAAAATCTCAGTACAAAAGATTCAGTTATGAATGCTAATAGCTTGGTGTAAACAAACCGTACCTTCCATTGACCTGCAACATGCATGTCAAGCAAAGAAAATTGTTGACTTGTTCACCTTGCCATTTAGTGATTGTTTTTGTAAGGATGTAAAGGTACCCACATATATTGTGGGGGAAAAAAAATTGATTGCAAGAGATTATAAGGAGTTTTATCGAAAATGATTTTGGTATTACTGGTTTGACAATTTAAGCAAGTTCACAAATTATTTAGCAAATCTCCATAAAATAAGAATAAAATGACAAAAAAACTCTCAATTTTGGTCAAACCATTTTGGTCAAACCCTCAATTGAGGGTAATTTTATCATTTTGATCCTTATTTAACATACTTGTTCACCCAAGGACCAAAATGATTGATGGTAGACAATCTCAGGGACGACTTTTATTGATTTCAAATCTCAGTGACCAAAGTGAGGAGTTATACAAATCTCAGGGACTATTTTGGCTAAAAAGCCATAACAAGTTCTAAGTTATTAGCTATATCTATGGGTAAGCGATATCTTAAAGCCAATGGTAAAGGTTTGAGAAGAAATACTGATGATACTTCCACAATTGTTAAATGGCATCCGCTGAATAATAGTTTTGTTAAGTTAAATTTTGACGGTTCGGTGGCTAAGGACAAGGCGACATCGGCATTTGTCTAAAGAAATCATAATGCGCAGCTTATTGGAGGCGGAGCTTTAAATGTGGATGGTGCCACTATTTTAGAAGTGGAGGCTAGGGCTCTTTGCTCAGAGGAAGGGCTATACAAAGACAATAGTTGAAGGTGACTCTAAGTTGGTCATTCAGTCAGTGTTGGACTGGGGTGCGACACCATGAAATCTGGTTCCTATTATTGAAGATATCAAGTGGACAGCAACCAATTTTGATTGCATTGATTGGAAATATATTTATAGAGAGGCTAACTTTGTGGTAGATGTCTTCGCTCGCCAAGACCTTCTTATTACTGATTGTCATATTTGGAATCATTGTATTCCTTCATTTGCTCTTCATGCTCTTCAGTTTGTAGTGTAACTATTGAGCATCTTAACAACCTCCGACCTGGTAGGTCTTTCAGCCGAAGCTTCTTGAACGCGTAGCAACCCAATGTGGATGCACTTCAAAACTTCATATCTAGGCCACCGGTCTCCCACACTTGGATCCAATAACTCCAATGATGTTCCCTTGGCCCAATGTTGCCATGCATATGTAACAATTTTAAGTGTTCACTTCAAGTCAATCTAAATTTACAAAGCTTGTTCAACCAATTTAACATGTTATATTGACATACTATGAATGTGAATTGTTAATCAAGTGATCAGTTCTTGTGCGGCTGTCAGATTTTTAACAATATAACATATACATACTTACATAACTTCGAAGATTTGAGAAAGTGCAGAAACTGGAATTCTTCCGACCTATTATAATTTTCAAAAGGTTTTTATCACAAATGGTCCCTAAAATTAACTCACATCATCAAGATGAACAGTACTGTTCATTTTTTTTTTTAGTTTTTAACTATACAAATAAAAATTGTTTTTTATTATTTAAATATTTTAAATTCATATAGGAATATTTAATTGATTTGTGGGACCTAGTTATGTGCCACATCAGCACATAAAAGAAATTTTGACGAAACTGTGACATAATGACCATATTGATTTGTGATACCTATTTTTAAGGACTACATATATTGATTTTCAATTTTAAAGACTATCTTGATGGGGTGGATCAATTTTAGGGACTGTTTGTGATAAAAACCTTTTCTAGAACTAAAATCCTAAAGCTGGCTTCTGGCGTATTTGGAAATGTAGGAATGAGGCAGTATTCAAGAGAACTCGGATTCTACCGCACGGGGCTGTTGAGTTATGGAAGCAGCAAGTCGGTGAGTTTAGGGAGGCTATGGTGGATCCGATAGTGGAGGGAGGGGAATAACGGAGAAGTAGGGGATCATGTATGGACAGTGTCATTTACGTACAAAAGTCATCAAACTGTAGAGAATGCATTAATTGCAATTGAACTGGAAGTACGTACCTTGTAAACTGGACCAAATCCACCTTCACCGAGTTTATATGAGAAATTGCCGGTTGCAACTTTAAGTGTATTTAGTCAAATCAAAAGTGCATCCATTCTATTGTTACCATCTTCACGAACATCCGAAACATCATCTGCATGACAATATGCATAGATAATGTCTTTGGGGGCATATATAAGTTAATGTCTTCAGAAAGCTTGTAGCTCAAGTAATTCGTTTATGTGGTCATTCGAGAGGTCCTAGATTCGATTCCTCATTCTCCAATCTCCAATATAACATGTATAAAAACAAAAATAAAGTAGAACCTAATGCTTCAATTGATAAGAGGTATGTATGATCCACTTACCAACTCCATGTCTCCTGGTCTTTTTCCACAGCAAACAACAAGCGCAGCTTGTGGGTATCACAAACCCCACAAGAAGTGGGATAACTATGATAATAATGCTTTTTGAAATCTTCTTCTTTCATGCATAAACATGAAATTATTACTTCTCTAATTCATATCTAATTCTCTAAAGGAGTACTCAATTCATAAAACTAACAGTTTTGCATGCTAACTAAGTTAATTAGCATGATGAGCATGCAGTTGATTAGTGCCGCTAGTAGTACTTGAGAATGTAAAGAAATTATTTCCCGTTGGAATACCATCTTGTAGATTTTACATGAGCATGCAGGAAGCTTTTGAATGTATCAAAAGAACCTAAAAATTTACCAGGACTAGTCTTATTAGTGCCGCTAGTAGTACTTGAGTTAGGCTCAAGCAATGAAGGAAATGGAGAAGAAGCCGCTGCAGGTGGTGGATGTTGTAATGGTGACTGGAAAAACGAATATATCTCATACCGGAGATAACGTACAGCTCTTAGAAATTAGTGTAATCCCAACAAATCCATCACAGCACTCCGACACATAACTGGCAATCTCCTGCAGGCAAATTAAGCAGCTATTTTCTGCTAGGTCTTGGTGCACTGAGTCATGCCATATATATCGTTGAAATCCGCGTAACTGGTGACCCCTATTGCGAATTTTGAAGGATCGGAAGCAGCTTTTGATGAAGGGTTCTTAACCAAGTTGCCTACCTGACGTTTGAAAAGAACGGGGTCAGTTGCTGTCTGGACGTCATGTAAGTTCACCCTTGGGAAACTGTCGAAAGTAGAGAAGAAACGCCGGTCCGAATACTGCAACGAGCAATTTATGTAGCCAACCGAAGCCTCCTTCTGGCTAAAACACAATTGCCCGATCTCAGTTGCTGTTTTATTTGCACAAGCTTGGCAATCAATTTTAGAGAGATCACCGCGGCATTGAACAAGGCCATAAACCACATTGTTGATCTGACCCATGCTTGTGACGTAAAATCTGATAGTGTTTGATTTCTGGATTGAATTGATTCAATGGAACAGTGTATATGAAATCGAAGATGTGCAGAGAGAAAGATTAGAGAGTCATGGAAGCTTCAGTGTCTGAGATATCTCATTGGATTCTACACCCACAAGCAAGAAGCTCGGAGGGAATATATGACCGTTGGAGGAGGAGTAACGAACTCACTCTCTCTCATCATTACAAAAAAACAATCACAACCATCCATTCTTAAGTCATCATGTAAGATGCTTACACTTGTCATGAGCTATGACTCAATACAATCTAATTTAAGATGTCATAGGAATATGATCCAATGGCTTACATTTAATCCTACAACCTGCATACAAAATAACCATCACAGCAAATACATTTACACATCAACAAAATCCTGTTTGAAATGCATTGGCAACAAGGAAAGTGAGGGTAATATTTAGGTTTAGCTCATAGACACTCCCGGAAGTGTAATTGGCAGTGGTATTACAGCTCGAAAACTGGTCGCGCTTTTGCGGGATAGTAAATTTGAAGAATGCATGAAATAAAGAGAAAATAAGGAGCGTATAATGCAAGGAATTGCATTTTATAAGATGATAAAAAGGATTAGAAGCAGAAAAAATTTCAGGAAATGAAATACCAAAGATTATGTGATGAATGTGTCCCCTGCAGCATTCTAAGTAGAACTTATACAGTACAGTCATTGACTAGTTCCGGCATGTTTTCGTCGGCGACATTTTGTCAAACACTTAGTGAAAATTCAGGGACCCTCGAAACCATTTTCAGACGTTGTTTCCGATCTTCTGTGAGTTCCAGAACCACCCCTGTTCCACCCCTGATTAAAGCGCGCACACATGCATTGCGCTCTTGTTTTGAGGATTTTTTTTGTTTTAATCTAGCGTAGTCAAAGGCCAAAAACACCCTTACTTACCAAAATATATTAGAAAAGAAGTACAAGATAAAGCATATAACCAAAAAAAAAAAAAATACAATATTGTCACATCCCGGCTCGGGCCCCCATCACATCCCGAGCTTGACTCCACCGTAGTACGATATTGTCTGCTTTGGGCCCCGACCATACCCTCACGGTTTTGTTTTTGGGAACTCAGACAAGAACTTCCCAGTGGATCACCCATCCTAGGATTGCTCTCGCACGAACTTGCTTAACTTTGGAGTTCCGACGGAACCCGAAGCTAGTGAGCTCCCAAAAAGCATTGTGCTAGGTAGAGATGAGAATATACATATAAGGCTTACAGGATCCACTCCCCTAGACGATGTGGGATGTTACAAATATGGCTTGTGGTGAATCGAAGAAAATACCAATCATCTTGAGGATTAATTGAATCTAAGTTCAATCGTACTGAACATGTTTTTTGGTCGAAATATTAATCACTTTTGAGTCTTTTAGAGCAAGTTTGGTATTCTATTCAAAAACTTTCATTACTTCTCAAAATATTTCTTAAGAACATGTCTTAAAAACAATTTTCTTTAAGGCTTAAAAACTTGTTTGGTATGAGATTTACAAAATTTTAATTCTTAAAATTTAAACTGAATTGGATCGCACGAGAGGGAAAAAGAGGAGAAGGGTGTTGGAATCAAATTGGTCCACCGCCTCTTGTGGTGTAGTTGCCCAAACTCACTAACCTGTAAAAGAATAAATAGCCCTAAGCAAGCCAAGGACAGGAGGCCAGAGGGTGATTGTGTGCCACTCAAAGACTTTCTAATAATCAAGTTGGTAAATAATATTAAGACTTAAGCGGTAGGTAAGAGAATAAGTATGCATAAATTGCGTTATCAGAGATAAACCCTAGAATGATGTATTTAGACCAATCGAGAAGAGGATCTTTTAGGAAAGTAGAGTCCGTATGAAACCAAGAGAATCATGAAGAAACCTTCTTATTCCTTGTTGGATTAGGTTTTCGAATCTTACGGAAAAAAAATGGTTTATCTTAGCTAAGTCGACAGGCTTCGCCTACTGATTCCAGAGCATAATGATGATGGTATCACTGATCCGTTTAATCAGCTCAGCAATGGAGATTTTTTAGTCTATGACTGAACTTTTTAAGGTGGAAGTATTCCAACCAGTTACCCAAAAACCATATTTTTCGAATAAGCTGAAATACTTACCGTTTGCTTCCTTCAGACGCGTGGCGTCTCAGCTTCAATGCGTTTGGTCATGAATTTTACCAACCAAAAACTTTTGGTTGGACTTTTTTTGGTTTGTTTGGCTGGTCCACTTTCCCAGCAGAATGTTAAATAAGAAAAAGTATGAAGCTTTCCTTGAATAGGTCAAATGAGAAAGTGACGTGATTCATTTCCAAATGTTTGAACAACTAATCAAACCAAACACCCTGATATTCTCTTTCACGAAAAAAAATCACATCCATGAGAATTACGAGGATAGAGCTTCAATGAGACCCACCATGCAAAGTACGAAGAGATTGTAACAAATTTTTACGTGTTAAAATAAGAATGAACAATATAGTTGATACGTCTTGTTTTAAAAAATATTAAGAAAATAAATTTATATGTTATATTTATGTACAATAATAATATCACATGATCATGTCTAAAATATATTAAAAAAAATACTCCAGAAAACAGAACGTATGAATTTACTACTCCTGAAAACGAAAAATGCCCACATATTCTAATACACATTTTCAACAGCCAATGGAAGAACATGAAAGTTACCGCGTCACCAAATTCTGGTTTGGTTTACCAAAAACAAAAGGTTTACCAAATTTTGGTTTGGTAAACAAGATTTCAAACAATGGGGACAGTCGGACACAAGAACTGTATTTGTAGATACTATGTAAAAATCTCAGTAAACCACAAAAGAAAGGATTCAGTGATGAATGCTAATAGTTTGGTGTAACCAAACTGTGATTTCCATTGGCCTGCAACATGCATGCATGTCAAGCAATGAATATTGTTGATTTGTTCTCCTTGCCATATTTAGTGGTTGTTTTTGTGATGATGTGAAGGTAAAAAAATCTCACATTGACGAAAGAAAAAAAAACGTTATAAAAGGTTATAAGGAGTTTATCGAAAATGTTTTTGGTGTTTATGGTTTCACAATTTAAGCAAGTTCACAACATATATTGATCAATAAAATTCAAATCAAAGTACGTATACATAATTTCCCAAAGTTTCTTCTAGGATCTACATTTTTGTATAACAAAAAATGAGTAACAGTAAACTAATAATTCTGTGGAATACTTTCTAGCTAGCTAGATAGCATGATATACCAATTACATGTATGATATAATGTTGTATAATCCGGCTATATGCAATATGAAACACTGCTACGGATGCATTCGTATTAGTTCTTCTTCTTTGCATTCTCTGATTTCGATTTCCATCAGTTTGCTGCCCTTAGAAGGTAATACATCGCAACATTGCCTTCGTGGCGCCAGCAACTGATTAATTCACAAAAAAGTGGATTTAGTATTGTACAAGTTTCATGAAGAAGTATAACAATGCTCAAGTGATCGAAAAATGTATGTCCAAAATATTGTAAAGCAATACCTGTTTCATATCAAGGTCTAGCTTATGTGAGTACACTCTGACCTCCTCCAGCTTCCTCGGCGAAGCCATGTCGTAGGAGCAATTTTCGTAAGACTTTTTGTATATGCTCTTGATTCCATCCGCACCAGAAGATACATTATCCAGAAAGAAAACAACCGGCCTTCGACACGGATCCTTGTGATGTTCTCTTGTGTTAAAAGTATAAACTCCTGACAAAACACTTCCCTTTTTCCACTGGCTGAATGTCTGTTGCACGGGGAGGACGTCCGGCAGAAGAATATGATTTCCGTATACTTGAACAGCGTAACCCCATGACACCGTGATAGTCCACGAAAACCATCTGTCGTAGCAGACTGTTTTCTGTAACATTCTTTGAGAATCAACATTCGCAGCTTTAAACAAATGTTTTAGAGCATTGATAGTTGTCATGTTGGGGAAGACAGGGTTTGCATGATCGAAGTGATGCAGGGATACCAAAGGCGTCACCGGATGCGAAGCCAGTAAGCCAAACATATCGCCGTGAATGTCATTCTGGTTCAATTTTAACAACCCAGAACTAAAAAATTTATTTCTTTGATATATAAACTAAGAAAAAAGCACGCTGAAATTTCAATTTAAACTACTAAAATGTGAATGTCACATACAATTTGATGAGCTAAGAATAGGATACCTGATGGAAACCGGCTTCGCTTGTTAATCCAACGCCGAGTTCTGCCAAGCAAGAGGAAATCCTAGAGTCGCTTCCATAGAGATGTGGATATCGTTCTATACACGAATCAAACACCTTCGCCAGTACTTTCGCCAATGGGGCACTTATAGCGAAACCTGCACCACCATAAGCCATTCCAAATCCGAACACCCTATTTTGCTCATAAACTTCGGAGTTTGTCCCAATGTAGTACCACAGTCCATGATCATACTTAGAAAGTGTCTTCACCAAATTCTCTGGGAAAAAAACTGTGTCATCATCTCCGAAAACATACCACCTCACATTCGTATGGTTGAGCGCCACGGTCTCAGAAACAACGCGTGCAACACGAATAGCAGACTTGAGACCGCCTCTGTAAGTGTAACGAAATCTTGCAGTGTCACCCGAGATGCACACAGGAGGAAGAGAAGTATCATTGACGTGACGCTGATGGTCAGGCGGAAGGCTATCGAGAAAGACACACCCCCTCATAGACTGGTTCCTCCACCAGAGCCGTACATACTCCTTCCTCTTAGCAGACCACGCTTTCTGATTCGAAGCAATCCCGAACACAATGTGCTCGAGGGAGGTCGAGGGCGGGGAATACGCATCTTGAGACAGAGAACTTATACGTCCAAGCTTTGAGCTCGTAAACACAAGGAAGAGCGACCCAAGAAGGAAGAGCGTGCATACAGAAGATGAGACTATGAAGAGGTTTATCAACCGAGATGGACTTTGGGGTTTCGAAGGCGACTGAGGAAACGGCAGCATTTTAAGTGGAAGGAAGAAGAACAAGCAATGAAAACAGAAATGCAGAAAATATATCTAGAAAATTCAAGTGTGGGACATAAAACCAAGATGTTGATTAAGAAGCGCAATCTGCGGGAAGAGAAAGATGTAAACTTTGACCTGCAATTCTGCACAAAAGTGTATTTAGTTGGTTAAAATTCCAAAAGAAGTCATGGTTCACACAGAAAGTCCTCCATTTTCTTGCCAACCTATTGTAAATCGGGCAGCCAACCAAGCAGCTCGGGTGCGTACGTTAGGTTAGAGTCAAAGGTCAGGTACTTGATAGCAATGGCATTGACTGAAAGTGTGAGAGATTAGGAAGAGAGGTTAGGCGTTAAAAATGGTGTTGGAAATGTATTAGGACGTGGCCTTTGGAGATTATAAGAGATTAATTAATTAATATTAATTATGCGTGGTTTTGTTAAAGGAAAATGCAGAACGTGAAAGAGCAAGCAAACTTCAGCTGCAAGTTAAAAAAAAGATTCAAAAAAAATACTTTAACGGGCCTAGCAAAAATAAAAGTGTGGAACTGTTACGTAAAGCAAAGTTCGAGGTTCCTATTTATGTTTTTGTTTTTTCTTGGATGAATAAACCAACAACGTTGTATGCATTTGATTGGAAAATCCAAGGAAACGATTACTTACAATTTGAGGTTTCTTGAGGCATCTATGTAACTTATGTTCCGGTGCATCGGATTTGATCTTAAATCACTTGCGTTAAAATCCATTTGCTCGTGAAAAAAGGACTAGGTAAATGTCTTTAAACAAACAATATTGAGGGCGTAAAAACGACTCAAAAGGACTTCATGTGCATGGTATCTGCTCTTAATCACTTGAGTTACAATCCTTTAAGAAAAATCTCCTGAATAATTACTTATTTTGAGATTAAGATACAGCTAACCGAAATGTATAAACCCGATACATTGAGCTAATTTAATTACGAAAAGTACGACAAAGTAAGCAACTAAATAGCGCGTTGTACCAGTTTGATTTGATAATCTGAGTTGTTCTATCATGTCCAGATCCTGAAAATCAGATGCATGACACCATCGGTGCTGGATCTACATAATGAAATTTTAAATCTCAAATACTGGAAGATTCAAGGGATGCACATGCATTAGACTTCAATGGTTTAGGCCAAGGAGGAGGAAGACAATGGATGGTTGGCAAGAAACCAAGTACGGCATTCACCCCGCTCGAAAACTACAAAACCAGACCCTATACAATTTATCATCTATGGCATCAGCAAAACATGCTAAATGCAGGAATGAAAACGCAGCTAGCATTTCAAAAATATTTCCTTCGCAGGCTTACCAACCAATCAAAGCTCTTCCTCATCATTTGATGTCTCAAAACGCAAGTTACTCTACAGCATGAATACATTACATACCTATCAGATCACTAGTTACCGTTCATTCCTCCGGATATCCAATTTACTCGGGTCATCTCCACTAGCGGACGTGTGAATGGTGTTGTCCTCCCTTTTTGTCTGTTCATCATATTTTCAAATAATAAGCCACTGGAGAGTTTAACCAAGAGTATCAGACATCGAAACCTTAACTGGCGGCAGATTTTTGCAGTAACTTCCCCTTTCTGCAATCTTTTTCTTGTGATTTATTGTTTTCAAGGAAATCGTTCCAGAAGCATTATTTTTGCTCCATGTTTAGATCAGAAGATAAATAGCCCATCTCCAAGTATATTCTCTTCTTCCTCCCCCTGTCAAGAAGAAAAGGAACTTGAGTTTTATGAAGTGCAGATCACATCTGAGAATATCACGTAGAACAGACCACTTGTAGGTCCATTTCCCAATAATAAAATTTAGGAACCTGAAGCATTCTTACTAACAAGTGAACTTACTAGAAGAAAAATGAAGAGGGAAAATGAGGAAAACTCAGATTTTCCATTATTTTCAACCACTTAAAGATATAAATCACCTTGATGAACGGATTGCAATGCAGGGTGGACAGTTTTCCCCAAGCACTTTTCAAACATAATATAAGAACAAGAAATGACATCACAATTTACCTTGATAAGATGATGAGTACACCAAAATGCGTGTGATTCTCTGAATTCTGCATCTAACTAAGTATCCTCAGAGCAACCATTCCAACAGAAAACTCTAGATATTCATGGATATCAACTCATTGTCTCTGCACCGTCTAATGTTTATAGTCATGGAGTCATCAAACGACTGCAAAATTTCGCAGCACTGACGGCGTTGAGCCTTCAGCTGAATTATAACAAGTGGACAGTAGTTGATTAATGGCATTGACTAAAACGAAAGACAAAAGAAAACTTAGTATAAGAGAGAAGGTATAAGTTCCAAATCAGCTACATCTATATTAGTGAAGCACATACCTCATCCGCATCAAGCTCTAGCTTCTGTGAGAACACTCTGATCTGTTCCAGATTCTTTATTGCATCTGCTTTGGAGCAATTTTCTACATTGAGCCTGGTGTAGTTACTCGAGCTACCATGACTATTGGATACGACACTTTCCAGGAAAAAGACAGTTGGTCTTTTACATTTATCTCTAGGATTATCTCTCATATTGAACATGAACTGACTTGCCTCGATACTACCACTCCTCCTCCATGGCATAAACGTTTTCTGCAGTGAAAGGAGATCTGAGAGGAGTTCATTGCCAGCATACACCTGAATAGCATAGCCCCATGCAACAGAAACAGTCAACGAATGCGAACTGTCATAGCAAACAGTTTGCTGCAATATCCTGGCAGGATCAACATTCACAGCTTCAAAAAGATGTTCCAAAGCTTGAGTCTTGTTCATGTTTGGGAAGATTGGATCTGCAGCCTCCAAATGATGAAGGGACACCAGAGGTGACAATGGGTGTGCAGATAGCATTCCAAACAAATTCCCCCGCATATCGACCTGATTACAAATTATGAGGATAATAAGTGCCCTTAGATTCAGCACATAACTTGACACAAGTCCACAACAAGAATCTTTGCTAACAAGCACATTGGAATCAACAGAGGATAGGATGCAAATCAAAACCATATCATGATTTGAAAACTCTGGTCATCATTAATGTAATCCAACATAACTCAATCAGCTATTCAACCTATCAACAACTGAATCGTTAACTTAGGGGCCATTTGATAACTATTTAGTTTTCAATTTTTGTTTGCATTTTTTTTTTTTAACTGAAAGCTGAAATCTTGTTTGGTAACTATTACTGAAAACGACTTTCTTGAGTTTTCAAAATTTGTGAAAACTGAAAGTAGTTTCCAAACAAGATTTCAGTTTTTAGTGAAAAGGGAAAATTGAAAATGAAATGGTTATCAAACGTATCCTTAGTTTGTGCACATGAAAATAAGCTATAAACTAGAAAATCAGGCCAGAAATGTGATTGCATCATATCCAAAGTAAAAACATAACGAAGAAGAGTAGCAGAAAATATAGTATAGACTTGTAACCCGTTTCAAGTCAAACAACTAGTGTTCTAAATTTCTAATGTTCATTCATTCTGTTTCTTCACAAAGTCCTATGAGCTGAATGCCTTGTGAGTTGTTCCTCTTTCCCCCCTACCACATTCAGCATAGCACAGAAAACAGAGATTGCATCAAAAGTAACCTCCCATTTTTGTAGCTCCCTATAAAATTAAGGAACACCTAACGAACGGACCTCCCCACCTAAAAGGCGAGTTATAGAAGAAAGCCAAAGCCATTCCTTTGGCCTTGAACCTACTAACAGTTGACAAAGCTTTCATTAAACACAATCAGTTCATCAAACACTATCAAGCAATTACTTTCCTAAGTTTCCTTCCTAACAAAACCAATTTCTGCATCATATCATCAAAATCTTATAAAGTTCATTACTTTTTCCGATAATCCATGCATAAATCGTTGAAGTCTTATCAAGCTAATTACTTTTCCTGATTCTTCACAGTAAAATTAATTTAATTCAACAAACCTGATGAAACCCAGGCTCATGGGTCAACCCAACGCCGAGCTCCGCCACGCATGCGAAAACCCGAGCATCGCTTCCGTACAAGTGACCGTACCTCATCAAGCACGAGTCGAACACCCTAGCCAGAGCCGTAGCCAGCGAATGGCTTATGGCGAACCCTCCGCCCCCGAACGCCATTTCGAACGAGTACTTGGCATTCTGCTGATAGCTCTCCGAGTTGCTCCCGACGTAAAACCACCGATCGTGATCGTACTTCGATAGCGTCCTCACCAGATTCTCGACGAAGAACACCGTATCGTCGTCGCCGAACACGAACCACCTCACATCCGGCTCGCCACGATCGACGACTTCCTTGACCGCGCGCGCCACACGGATCGCGGACCGCAGCCCTCCTTTTAGAGTGTACGGAAAGCGGGAGGTGTCGCCAGAGACGACGACAGTCGCGACGGATCGGTCGCCGGAGGGATCTGTTGGGGCGCGGTCGAGGAAAGCGAAGACGCGGGTGGAGGCGGGGGAGCACCAGAGGCGGAGGTAAGGCTCACGGCGGGACCAGGAGCGGAGGAGGAAGCGATGGCGAATACAAGGTGGCGGCGCGTGGTGGGAGAGGAAGTGTAGCGGGAGAGAACGGTGGGCGGCGCGTGGAGGAAGAAGAAGAGGAAGTAGACGTTGAGTAAAACGGAGAGGATTAAGACGAGGGCCGAGAAGCGGGGGAGGGTTAGGGTTCTGGGCATCACGGAGGGGAGGGAGAGAGAGAGGTATTGGAATCGGATTGCTTTGCAGGCGGAGTTGGTTTTTCGTTTGATTTTCTGGTACATTAAAAAGTTACGGAGAAGATGATGAACTAGACGCAGTCGCAGTCGCAGTCGCGGGGACGGTATTGATATTCGAAGAAGAAGGTGATGAATTCACGTGTTAGATCCACCTGATCAAGGTCAGCAGTGACATAAACTGTTTGTTGGATTCCGCAGTTCGCTTTTGTCCCGAAGAACAAGCCGTATGTCACTGGTTAAACGACATGCGGTATTGATATTCGAAGAAAGAAGTCGGTGGTTTCGACGTGAGTCTATTTTTTTTTTTTAGCCAGAAAGATTCGCAGAGATATTTTAGTTTCTTTCTTATCATCATCGTGCGATTCATCAACGGAATCAAATCCAAGATGAGCCATGTGAAATATATGTTTGAAATTCGTTTCTAACCACTAGGTCATCTCGTGATGGTTAAATTAACTCTCCTTTTATCCATTATTAGCGGTATATCTCAAGTTAGTCATATACTTTTACATAGAAAAGTTAAAATTCACAATAGTACATGATTGGCTTGAGAGATCCACCGTAATGATCATCCTTATTATACGTAAGTTTCGATCTCCAACGGATTAAGGGGATTTGAATTTGGTAACTCTCTCAACAATGGGAAAGGAAGTTTTACTTGGTTAAGAAGTTGTTGATGAACAACATCTATTTAGGCCATGACTATCCCTCATAAATATAAATAGAAATATAAAAGGGAAGGCAAGACTATCATGCTTGGTTAAAAATTCTTAGTGATTGACATCATTCTCTAATCTTGATTATTTATTGACTAATGGACTAAAGGTCGTGAGAACACTAGATAAGTTTCCATTAAGTTTCAACCATTATTAAAACATTTTCATCGAGAGTATGAATACGGAGGCGACAAATGCAATTGGGAAAGTAAAGAAGATAAGCATTTCAATCGAACAAGAACTGGTTGTATTAGCTTACCATTCTATTTCAGTGCTTAGTTTTCTCTAATATTTCTATATATTGAAGATTGACCTTAATAAACTTATAAGGGTTCATTTGACAGTGCTTTTAAAATAACTAAAAGCATTTTTACAGAAAAATATTTTTGGATTTCAAAAGCATTTAAAGTGTTTTTTGCAAGAAGTACTTTAAGTGTTTTTCCAAGATTTATTTGCATTTTCGCTAAGGATTGATTCAAAAAATATTTTCACCAAAATCTCATTCAACCATTTTAAAAGTACTTTCAAACGAGTTCGTTTGATTCTTCACCGTCAAATGGTAACTTTACATATAAAAAAAATATCATCTGATTGTAAATGTATGGAATGTGGATAACTATAATAATGTCCATAACCTCTTATCTTAATATTTTGTGACCAATGCTCTAGATAGTGTATTTAGTGGTCTGTAACTAATGGTTTAATGTGTCAACCCAATAAACAATATGTGGACAAGGACATCTTCTACATGCATACAAGCTCTATGAATCCCAATTTGAAGAAGGCTTTAATTGTAGGCCATACATTTACAAACGAAAGCTTTCTTCTCTAGTGATCAAAATTGACCGGTTAACAACTCACCAAGAAAATTATGGCTCAAAATCTTGCACCAAGTCATCTCATAAAGCTTGCTTCTAGCTTAATCATGTTTATCTTCTTTTATTTTATTTTTTTTTCAAATTAGTGGTTTCTATTTTGTCAAAACTAGTGGTAAACTTGATTAATTTAATAGGACCTATTTTATAAATAATTATATATAGACCAAGTTTTTTTCTGAATCACAAGTTTAAATTAGAAAAAAAAATTAAAAAATTGGAAGGGTGGAACTTAAGAAAAGGAATAACAATTTGACTGTGTTGACATCCCAACCCAAACGTTCCTTATAAATGGCTTTTTTTGGTTCCAACTTCTTGGCCATTGTCATACAATATAAATTTTGAGATTTTAAAATGTGCAAAGGAGTACAAGAGAGTGGCCTCTGCCGGTCACCAAGTCTCATTCCTTCAGGCGGGTCGGTTTGCTGTGAACTGTGCAACTCAAGGGCTTCACTGTATTGCCTAGCAGACGATGCATTTTTGTGCAGGAAATGTGACCGATGGGTTCATGGGGCTAATTTCTTAGCACTCAGGCATGCCAGGTGGTTGTTGTGCAACACATGCCAGAATCTTACGCGAAGATACGTCGTCGGGATTGCAGTTAAGGTGATGCTTCCGACCATTCTTAGTCGGGTAGATAGAAACCGGTGTGATTCAAATGCCAAAAGAAGGTGCTCAGCTAAACGGAAAAGGCCTTTCTTTTAATTTTTTATGGTATGTATATTAGCTCTTTGAGTTATTCCCTTTGAATCATTAATCGATAGAGATTCAATGCAGTCTCTGAGGTATTGAAGAGGGAATACCGAATTTTGGGTAATGTGAAGTCATCTTTTCGTAAGTGCCTTGAGAACAAGGATACTGAGATAATGCTTCCAAAGGTTTAGTCATGTCATTAACTTTAACTTCTTATTAATGTCATTGTAATCTCAAATATAATGACATTAATAATCATCCAGTTATGCTAAAATTATTAGTTGGAGCAGATTTTTACTAAGAAATGGTCATAAGTAAAACCAGTTTCAGATGATGATCATATTCATAACTCACGTATAGAGAGTAACTAGAAAATAAGCCCGCACGTTACGGCAGGAACCAACTGTTTCAGGCGTAACTGCATGAATAAGACACATTTAACCTGAATAAATTCAACACAATCATGAATGAACAGAGGGACACATGAGTGAGGCTTGGTTTGATATTGCTGTGCTTTAAAAAAAAGCTGCTGTGAGAATAAGCGGCTGTGCTGTGAGAATAAACAGCTGTGAAATAAAGCCAGCAAAGTGTTTGGTAAACTTTTTTGTAAAAGTGCTTTTGGAAAGAAAAAAAAAAGCAGTATCATAGTGTTTGGTAAACTTTTTTGTAAAACAGCTGTGACTGTGTGAAATGACCAAAAAGGGTATATTACTAGATGTGCTATTAATTTAATTTTCTTAACAAATAAAAGGGAATTACTAAATATATTTTATTTTTAGAAGAAAAATATTTATATACTATAAAATGTGCTATTAATTTCATATACTATAAAATGTTTTCATGCTTTACTGACTATCTTTCAGGATAATTTTCATTTAATGAACCAGCAACCAGCAAAGAATGCATGATTTATGCACAAAAGAGATGCAAACAAAAGGGAGATGCAACGATTTATATGATATTATCAACTCCGTCAAGAACAAAGCACAAAACAAGGAACATTTCAGCAAAAGAGGGCTTGTATGCAAATGATTAAACATCTTTCTCTAAAATCTCTATTCCCTTTTTCTTTGGATCCCCTTTTTTCCAACCAGTTCTTATTAGCAAAAGTCTACTTGTTTTCTCTCATCATGAATCTCCCAAGTTTGCACAATTCTGTTTTCCTTTTAATCTTTTAAATTTCTACAAATTCAAAACTATTGGATCCTCAAATTCTCAATCATTCAATTTAATTATGTAACACTTCCACATTAGAGAGCAAAATAACGAAGGGATAAATATTACTCGATTTTGATCCAAACACAATCCAAGAGTCAACAGATCCAAACTTTAAACAAAATTGAAACCCTAACAACATCAACTCTGCGAAAATTTACAGAGCAAAGCGAAAACAAAGCATTCGTGTCATTGAATTACCGATTAAGCTCCGAATCCGAACCCGATCCGAACCAGGACTCAGAACTCAAGCTCCGCCACCAGATCGGTGGAGGTACAGCTTGCCAAACACATGAAGAGCCGTGACGAAGCCTATGAAGCAGAGGCTCATGACGAGGACAACAGTCGGGGTGATCTTCAAGCCAGGAGCGTCGTCCGTGTAGAACCTCAGCATGTTGTTTCCGGCACCTGATCCGCCTCCTCCTCCGCCGATGCTTCCGGAGCCGGTGGAGCCTCCGACACAACGGCGACGCATTCCAGCCGTCGCGGCGACCGAGCCCCGCGGAGCCATGACGCCGGGGCGCGCAATCGCAGAGGACGACGACGACGCTTGGGTTATTCATATTTCATTAAACTTGTACACTGTTCACCCGTGTGTGGGTGAAAATAAGCTGCTTTTGGAAGCTGCAAATTGCAGCTTCTTGTCATCTCCTTGTTTTGGGCTTTTTTTCACCCTCAACTTTGAAACAAAGCTGTTTTTCAAAGTTTACCAAACACCAAAAATTTTCATAGCTTTTTTTCATAGTAGCTTTTTTTTTAATCACCTCAATCCCAAACAGGCCCTGAATGAGGTCGATATGATGTGCAGCTTGGCTTTTATATACATTCAACTGAGCTGACAATTCAGTGCACCTTGGTTGCACATTTGTCATATCCAACAGCTCGCATCGGCCACCCCCCACTGGAATCCAAGGCTGAGAGAAACCTTCTGCCGGAGTTGTCATCTGAAGCACCACTCTTATCTTTGGCTTTGTCTGATTTGACATCTTGCTTATTATTGCATGGATGCCAAGTTGTTTCAACAGCCTTCGATGTACACATATCTGAAATGCGGTCTTGTCCCACTGTTAGAAGCAAAGATTGGAACCCTAATACTATATTCTCAAGAGCTTCATAGAGAGCTCTTTTGTTTCTCTTTGTCAACCACTGCAAGGAGTGCAATTAAAATTTAATTAAAATACCTCATTTTGCATTCATAATAAACCCGAAAGTGACTTCATAAGATGAAATTAACCTAATTACATGTGAAAGGAAACCTTTCCAATTAAATGAAGGAAATATTCGATGTGGATCAAAACCAAAACCAAAACAAAACAAACATTGACAACTGCCCAAGTTGATGTTTGCTCCAAAAGGTCTTCCTCCTCCTGCCATCCTTTAATTGTAACCCTAATTTTCCTTACTACAAAATAATGCTATTTTCGATCTATTTCTTTCGGTGTGTAAACCTGTATTAATTCTCTATAATTTTCAATCACTTCCACTGTAATTAAAATAAGTGCTGAGTATATACACACTCCTAAACACAAAAATTCAGTTTTCCATTCTAAAAAATGAACGAAAGCACATATGCCAAGTCAATGTTCCTACTGTATTCATTAATCTAACGATGCATCAAATATAAAAATTAAATTATACCTCTAATTTATAACCTTTTGATCTTGCTTCATCTGTAGCTAAACCAAAATTTGGACAGTCCCCAATATAATTCTGTCAAAAACCAGATAGCAATACCATGTAAAAGTCATATTGGGTGTCTACACCCACACTTGTCAATTTACACATAAATTTGAAATTTGAATCACTTGGGCTTCAAAAATATTTGCACATAAATTCGAAAGAAAATGAACAAATTAAAGAAAAATCATATGTAGACAATTGAGACTCACCTAAAACTGCTGTCGAGCTATGCTGAACGGAATGGTGGTGCGCCATGAAGACAACTCTGCGTTGTTGACAAAGTCCCAGAATAACCTGGAAATTTACAGAGGTCAAATTTTACAGCTGAAGGAGCAATCATTTACTGCATTATAAAGAAAAACCCAAAATAAACAATCAATCAAACAGAACCAAATGATATTTACCAGCTTGAAAATTTTCATACTACACCCAATTATAAGGGGAATGAGTGTACTGTGTACCTGGTGAAGCATTCCACCATTGTTGATGGCAGACTGGGTAGTGCGTGCAGCATCAGCCATACACTCCGTAATTGTCTCTGTTTTTTTTTTTTTACGTCAATCTATATGACAAATGATTTGGGAATTAATAGGGGTGAAAAATGGATAGAACCAAGAATTGAAATCAAGAGAAAACACACATCCGATTTGATAGCAATCAACTGCTAGTGTGGTGCAAAATGAGCAATTTTAAACTTGCAAAATATATTTTTTTTACAAAAAGGTAGGCCGAGATTATCTCTAAATGATGATTGCATTGTATTTTTGCCCCTCGGAGCATTGTATTGTATAGAAATGACTCCAAGAAGCAATCCATCGTAAGTTTACGCAAGCAAAAATCAGATTTATGCAATAAAATTTAAATATTTTGTTATGGACAAATACTATTAAGTCTATAACTGAGTTTACACACCAATGAGTTGTGCGAGTCCCAACTACGTACCTAAGGTATTATTTAAATTGCTTTCAAGTTAACTGAATAGGACCACATCTTGTGTCGCTTGAAGGTGAATAAATAACCTGTTGTGCAAACACAAATAATCTGTTAGGGAGACCCAAATTCCTTAATGCTCCCTATGTCGTACAAAATGCTCACTAATTAGAGAAGAAAGAACGCAAAATATAGAATAAAACGCCAAATCAGTATGTTCAAACTGCAAACTACAACTAATGTTAGTAAGTCTCAAACTAACAACTGAAATGAGAAACTAACATTGACAAAGGAAAAGTAATAACAGAGAGAGAGGGAGAAATATGGGTGTGGCACATGACATGACTCGTAATTCTGCTAATTGTCACAATATCAAAATTAGCTTACTCATCATTGATAAGCATGTTGGCGTGTCTACCTATAAACTAATACTACAAACACAAAATTAATAAGTCAACTTTTTGGAAACAAATTAAAGATAAATGATTAGCACAAAAACTCCATGAATGTGTTAGTGTAAGTTTTGATTTTAAAATGGCAGCATCAAGACACGAATTAGGAATTTTTTACACGTAAACAGCATTATTAAACTAAAACCTGCATCCACAAATCACCCATTTCACAAAAATAGACAATAATTTCACTCAAAAATCACACCAAGAAAGGAAGTAAAAATAGAGGTAAAGATCTACCAAGAGATTACAAATTAGCACAAATAAGGAAGTAAAAAAACCCTATAATCCAAAGACAGAAAGATTGCAAATTGGCCTAAAAATTTGAGGAATAGTAAATTGACTTGAACTGGAGGAGAATCTGAGAAAGTTGAAGCATTGCCTATGATTTTGGGAATTTCAGGTGAATCAGTAGGCTTAATCGAAAGGCAATGAAAGATATAGCTTATGGCGAACATGGCAAATAGCTTCCACTTCGATCTTAAACTCTTTCATCGTTCTTAATACGCTAAACTCAAGCTCAATTTAAAATGGCAGAGTTAGGCTGCTTAGTTTCAATACCACTGCATAATTAAACATCCAAATATGATAATAGCCATGTCTACATTTTCCCTTAAATCGATTATTTTTACATTCACATGATGTTGAGAGAAATATCCTTGAAAATAAAGCACTACACATATACAAAATCAGTTCAGTAATAAAGCAGTAAGAAACTAATTAATTTTCAGCTTCTAACTCATTCATTTGATCAACATATTAATGGAACTAATGTAATTTTCTTACAGTTTCTAACTAATTCATTTGATTAATATCATCCGAGTCAGAAAAGATAGAACACAAAAATCATTAGGACAAACAGAAAAACGATTAAGATATATAAATAGACAAAGGACTATCATAGCAAAACCAATTAGTTGGTGAAAAGTGACCAAGGAATTAGGACATAAAATGCCTAATAAAAAATATTCATAAGAGAAAAACAAAGGAAAATTGGGGAAACTGATTGCTATAAACAATTAAAATTGAGAAGAAAAGAGTAATACAACATACCACAAATGGGAAAGGACTTACCTTTACTTCGTCAATTATGGCCAAACAAAAACCCTAAACTTTTCCTTGTCTCTCAACTGTGGACTGGAAGTCTGAAAGCATAAAAATCAAACCCAAATTGAAATTCTAACCAACCCAATAATTTTTTACTTAAAATACAATAATTTGAGAAAGCAATTGACTGAATGGCCTAGATTGAAAACTAAAGTACCGGTAAGTAATTAAAAAATGGCAATTAGCCAAAAATATACGCTCCCAAATGAGGAGGAAAGAACAAAGAGGAAAACCTTAAGATACAGGGGCAATGGGGTTTGCAGACCGCCCTTTTTGGGCAGCCATCCCAATGATAATACTTAGTTATCCCTGCTATCAATACACCAATTGCAGGCCCTCATCAGTTTCCATTCTCACACCATTTGGCATGTACTTGATGTTCAATTTCAAATAAAATAAAAGAAAAAGCATCATGAAAGAAATCAAGATGAAGAATTAAATTTTGGCAACTCACCATTCTTTTCTTTTATGAAAAAAATGCATCCTATTTGTAGTGAAAACAGGTACCGCCAAATACATTTTATCCTCAAGAAATATTTTGTATTACTTTAAAAACATAATCCATGAAATTATATCTCTTAGTTGAGAACAACAACAAAGCTTCATGCATAGCTTGGCATACAAAAGAACACGCAAGCATAAAATAAACAAAGCAGGGAAAACCAAAAATACAATTGAATACGCTGTCAAAAGAACATGAATAAATGAAAATTACAAAACAAAGAAATGATGAGAAACCAAAGTACCCATTTCATAAAGTCAAAACGTAAAAGATAAGTGGGATAAGCTGACAGTCATCCCTGAGTAATGCATTCACTTTTGAACCCCAAACACAGCGAAACAAAAATTCACACACATGAACTACTGCTCCCATATGTAATAAGAAATAAAAGCATCTCGAAACTAAATGGCAACTATAAGAGCACTGTAAAAGTAAAATTGCAAGAAATCTAATACTCATAGAGGAAGTACTAATAGCAGACGAAAATGAAAGATTGAACTACCTCGCTTGTAACTGTGCCTTGGTTTTTTCCCATGCTTACAGGAAGCTTTGCGTTGTGCTCTTATAGCCCAAATTTTCTCTGAAGGAAAAAAAACACGATTTTGAAATCAGATTTTCATATTATACCTTAAAGAGAACAATTAGGGAACGAAAAAGAGAACAATGAGTACTTTTCATCATATATCGTTAGAGTATGTGGTCCTCTGGTCCAATGGTCATGCAGCCATTTTTACTTTATAACTCTTTCTTTTAATTTAAAAAACATCTTTGATCTCAAATTAATATGAATACAGATTCATACTTTATAACTAAAGATCTAACTGCTCTTGATAAGATAATCAATACATCATTCATCACATGCATTGCATTACAAATTTACAATCATAATGGAACATCTCATCAGACATCCCCACACAAAAAGTTCTTATTGCTACTTTGATTTTTGTTTATTTTTTTTCCTGAAACATGAGCTAATTTTCTTTTTATTCCAGTAATGTTATAGGGTTGCAAGGATATTATCAATTTAATTGATTGTATTTGATTGGTGGAAGTTCTACATCTATATTTGAGGTTTTCAATTTCAGCATTGGGAGAGTCATTCATAAAATGTTCGACAGTGAGATTACCTCCATGGATTATGCTCACACTGGACAGCTCATTTTCCGTGGTGATGCAACGGTATTTTTCAGTCATTCGCCATTCAATCAATTCAAACCGAGGAACAGGCAACATCAAGAAGACGATCTGCCGTGTCAGGATCACTGTCGTCCAATTAATACAAAAAATTCTGCAAAACCACAATTGAACACACCGATCTCTAAATAATTGAGGAACCAATCAAAGCAGCTGAATACACATGGAAAAATAAGTGTTTCAGTTTGCATTTGTATTCTATAAACTTTACATTAACAAAATACATTTAGGGATTAATACTACAATGACATTGCTGCAACATCAATTACAAAATCTTTTAGAACAAATAAACAGAGTAGAGAGAGCTTGTACAGTTGTACCCGAAAGTGAAGCATATGATCACACCATCCTCAGGTGCCCAAGAGTAATTGAATGGTGGCGCAGCCCCTACGCAATGTTTTTTAATCGATTCAGGCAGTTAACACTGGCCAAATGCACAATAGATGTCTTAGAAACTATTTTCAGTTAAAATCCAAAGAAGTTAGAGCAAAAATTACCTCCAATCTTTGTTTCTCTTGTACTTTGGTATTGTGGGGTTGAATTGTAAACTGGTAAATGAAGTTCTGAAAACCAAAGAATAAAAAGCCTTTTTTCAGTTAACTAAAACGCACATCACAAACGGAGTGAGATATCTGGTAACCAAAAAAATGAATCTTGGAAGGCAGACATAAACAAACTTCAATCACAATTACTTTAATATATTTGGATATCAAGGAAAATTAAATTTATTTAATTTCGATATAAAGAAAAATAATTAATGCAAGAACAACCTTTGTGCCTCAATGGCGTGAGAAATACTCAAAACACACATTATTTTCTAAGTCTTTAGTCTATCCCTGCAAATCGCAATGAGTTCTCTAACTTATATCCATAGAGAATCAAATTAACTATGTCACGCCCTGATCCCAACATACGTTCAAGAACGACACGTGAAGTCACCAAATACCCGTAACTCAAACATACCCCGCCTCTGGGATATGGGCAAAGCACAACTCGAGATCCAACTACGTAATAATTTTTCTTATACTTTATGGTTGCATCTAACATCCTCGTTAGACTGCCTACGTAACCTAAACAGGGATCAAGCCATTCGTAGTTCGTCGTTTGCTATACTCGAACATTCATCACATATATCACCATGTCTCAACATAATACACAATTCAGCGCATGCCGCATCTCAAAGAGCAATCGACGAAGCGCAATAATAATCTCTAGCCATGCTGGTCAACGAGTCTAATCATAATGACAACAATCACAACCAACGTCATTCCACAATCACATCAATCAATAACACATACCATACACCGAAATCCAGGGCTAAAGCGACACAGTTCAGGCTGAAGCCTACATCTCTAAAGCTGTCTCAAATGAATCAATCCAAGGAACCAATGAGTCAAATGATGCGATTTCGGACCACTCAACAAAATCCATCAACATCGGGTTTTGAACCACTCAACAGAACCAAGACACCAAAGGGTATTCCGGACCACTCAACGGAATCCAAACCAGGATACGATTCTGGACCACTCAATGGAATCGCAGAGTAGAAGGGATTCCGGACCTCTCAATGGAATCTGAGTGGATACGATTTCGAACCACTTAACAGAATCGCGAAGTACAATGGATATCAGATCACTCAATGAAATCCAAGCTGGATACGATTCCGGACCACTCAACAGAATCACAGATCACAAGGGATTCCGAACCACTTAACGGAATCCAGACGGAGCAAGAAACTGGACCACTCAACGGAACCCCAGTGAATACTCAATTTCGAATCACTCAACGAAACCTAGTGGAAGGCCAAGGACAAATCAACGGCTCGAAAGAAACAAAACATGAACCAAGTGCTCAATTTACAAAGGCTCAACGAAATGAAAGAAAACACAAGTACTAAATTTAGAACAGGTCCACGAAGCAAGATATGAAACGCTATCAAAGCAACTAATCCCCATAATAGTGGGTTAACGGTCCACTACTAGCCTCACATTTCATCACATCATACCAATCATACACATCAAACCACATTCCACAAACATTTTCAATGCACAAATCAAAAGATACTTAATAAACAAGTATAATATAATATGATGCCACTAGTATAATACGATCCCACCCCCTCATTGGTCCGCACCCCTCCTTTTTCTCTCATTTCCTTTCCATCACAACCACACACGTTGCTTCACAGATCTTTGCTCCAGAAAATCTGGAGCCTTCCAGATTAATAATTAAATTACCATTTTGCCCCTAACTTCGTTTGTTAGTAACTCCTTCATTATAACTCCAAATTACATTCCGTTTACGCTCACACGATCGTATCGACGAGTACTATCCAAATACGTAAAGACAAATGAAAAAATACATACACATCAAATATGTCCTCAAAAATTCCGTTTAGTCCATTAAGGGTGTTTTCGTCCTTTTACTTTAAAAAAAATTCTACACCGCAAATACAAAAGCATCGAAACTACAAATAAGAATACAAAATATGGAACACGCAATTTTAAATAGTGAAATCCGGGGACGGGATTTCACAAACTAATTAACTTACTAACCCCTCCTGTAAATTTCACACCTATGCTCCAAACAGATTTTGCAACTAATATCCCGAAAAAGGGGTAAAAGGGAAGAAAGAAACCTTTGTACAATACACATGCAAAGTATCAAAGAGAGAAAGGAGAAAAAAAATATCAAAATAAGAATTACACACCTGTCCTATAATTTAGCCAGATGATACGTTCTGGCAGTAGAAATCATGGACTAATCACAGACAAAAAAGTATGTTAAATCCATAAGAAATTACTCCATCACTTGCTGAAAATTAAAGATTACCATTTGAAATACCAGTGGCATAGCCTCTTGAGCTTCGAAGCCTGAAAATGGCAAAAAATATGCAATCTTTGAAATACCCATTCCAATTAAACATCAGAAGAATTTTCCCTTCCAATTCAAAGCTTTGGGAAAATTGAAAATTGAAAATTCTCAGTGCCCAAGCAGGACATTTAACCAATCAAGATCCTAAACCCACAAAATCAATCCCAAAACAAAACCTAATTAAGTACTATGTACATAACATGTTAGCTTTCTACTTCAAGAAAAATTATTAAATTGGGGAAGTGATCAAATGGGATGGGTCCTTCCATATTAAGCAACATTAATCCAAGATTAATTCCAACAAAAGAAAACAATATGATCAGATCAAGAACAATGCATGCAACAAAGAGACAGAGAGAGGGTGCGTGGAAATTAGCAGGGTGGATAGAAAAATACCTTAGAAGTGATCTCATTTGTGCCTGCCTGGACTACACTTGCAGCCGACTAAGCCGCCGATGCAGCAACCAAAGATAATTTTCCAAACTCTATCCAAATTAAATAAATGGAAAACCGTAAACAGACAGATAGTGTGTATCCATATCAGCCATCTTCATCTACAATCACGAATCAAGAATATACATAATAACAAAAATAATGCAACCTGAGATACAACAGACAACACATACAATTTATACATTACCATTGATTCAAGTTCTGGTAAGGTGTGCAACTGGCGATGAGAAGGCGAGGTGTGCAACGGAGATCAAATATACCTGCCATCAACCAAAACCAAATGCAAGCAAAACCCATAAGAAAAACCCATCAACTAAAACCCAGCGCAAGGTAAGCCATCAACCAAAACCAATAATTTATCAATTGCAGTAACTAGGTCAAACCCACATTGACATTTCACACAGAAAAGTGAAAAAAAAAAAGAAAAGTTACCTTGCACTGGGCGGCCTCCTGGGCATTTCACGTTCAAACTCCGGGCACTTCATTGGTTGGTGGAAATATCAACGGAGATGAGAAGGCAGGGTGAACAACGGAGATCGCAAAGCAGGGATTGAAGAGTTCACAAAGCAGGGATTGAAGAGATAACGAAACAGAGATTGAAGAGATCGTCAATCGCGTTGCAGAGTGAGAGTTAAGATAAGAAGATACTCACAACCCAAAATGGATGACATCACCAACACGTAAATCCACATAAACCTTTTTGTTCACCTGATTATTAGGCAAGAGCAAACCACTAGGAACAATCAAGAGCCCTTGTATAGAGTATAACAAAACACCAGCCATCCACACTGCAAAGTTAATTACTAATTTGTAAACAACTCTTAAGATTTCTCAGGTCAATGCGTAGTTTTCATTCTTTGTTCAATGCTTTTCCTCCATCATTATGTTGAAATTTCCAGTTCTATTTTTTAATATTTGCTGATTATGGATGGATATGAGCATTTGACCGGGGAGTAGTTGTGAAATAGTAAATTTATACATTTGGGTCATCAATGCATTTATTTTAAAGAAGTATTATTCAGTAGAAATAATTTCCATTTATTTCAAAGAACCTTCTGAGATGCAAGTCAAGTCAAGGACACGCTTAATTCAGCTCATATCATAGCAACTGCTGCGTTTTAAACTTAGTTCTGGGAAGTTGGCTAGCATGAAAAAGCTGAACTGTTTTTAGAATGTATGTGGGAGGTGACATAATGAGGCTTATTTTGTTCTTCAGATTAGATTGGATTGAATTACTCATAAGATTCAAGGTATACACCTTGGACTGGATTGGATTCATCATATATGTTGAAGAAAAAGTTAAGTGGTAATGAATCCAACATTTATAAATCGTCATCGTAGTAAATCATAAGCCATAAATCATAATTTATACATCTGGTAAAGTTTGTACTAAGACCGGATCATAAAAATATCATATCCCAAACTCAGAGACATGATACACCATTTAATTTTATTTAACCTTTTGGCTGCATCTAACTTTCGAGTTAGATTGCCTACGTACCCTCCAAAGAGATCGAACCAATTATATATCACCATTTTGTTAAACTCAAAATAGAAATCTTGTGTTTGCAATGACTTTCAAAATTTCTCATTCAATTCTCATTGTCATTTCATTAGGTCGATTATGCCGTAATAGACATTTGCTTCAACAATAATATATCCAAACCAAAATCAAGTCTACTCTTCTCTTAAGAAAACCCACTTTCTTCAAACACTTGAACCCAGACAAAATCTAATTAGAATTTCCTCATTTTTCTATACGACTCCTACATGCAAACAACCTTAACTTTTGATAAACAATTCTTAATTTCTTATAAAGCTTCACCACCAAATCTTCCCAACATCAAACATATAGCCATCAGTTTCTTCCCCAACAGCATAATCATACCAGGCAATTGTGTTCCTACTTCTTACGTCCAACCAACTCCATTCATGCATAAAGTACAATAAAGAAACTTAATTTCTATTCAATCATCCTTATTGCTAAAACCCAATTGCAAGTATAAAAATCCATACAAACTTCACCTATCAGTTTGTAGAAAATTAAACCAGAAAATAAAGGTAACAAAGCAAAATTAATCCACACCTGAACCGAAGCACGACCTTCCTCCGAAACAACAGCAGCAGCAATCCAAGTAATGTGAGAATGGTGCCAATTCATACTCACATTGCAGGTGACTCCAGAAGCAATAACGGCAATTCCGTCGTCTCCCAGCTCGAAACGCTACGGACCCACATAGATTCCATATATAGTGACGTTGAAGCAATTCCTAGAACGGGATTCTCTTGGATTTCGAAGTTTTGGGGAGCTGGAGTGGAATTAGTGAGGAAACGGCCTGAGTTACGGCCAAGACCGTAAGAAAATCGAGACCCCTTTTTGGGAGGTGATGATGGATGTGAAGGCTTTGTCAGCGGCTTCCCCCTTCCCGTCAACCCTCTCTCTACCTGCAACCCATCAACCCCTCTGTGAACCATGCCTCTGACGACATCGACAGCCGGAGGCAGCATGGCCCACTCATTAAATTAATGGCATAGCCATAAATAGAGCGAAACTAAAGAAGCTAAAGAAGCCTGTGGGAGCCAGAAAAGGTAGACAAAGAGAAGGAGGTAGTGTGGCCACCCGAGCAGGTGTGAACACCGAAACTCTACGCACATTCCCAATTAAAGACCGCAACAGTTCGCAGTCAATAGAGATTGCAGATCGAAACGGAAATGGGATCGGTGGAAGCTAGATGAAGGACATGTAGATGGATGGGTAGATGAAGGAATAAAATAGTTAATCCATTTTTTTCTTATTAGGCGAGGACTTGAAGGAATTTGCTGGGTTGCTTCGTGATCAGCTACGAAATGCTGCTGCTGTCCGATGGGAACGGCGATTTCACGAGGGCGATCGGCGACTGTAGGGCGTCGAAGGAAATCTGGGATTGGGTTTTTTTGGGGTGGACCGGTGGAGTCGAAGAGGGAGGGAGAAGGGTGGGTAAGGGGGCGGGGGGTGGCGGCGGGTTTCGGAAGGGATGAGGGAGAAGACCAAAAGCTTTATTTTATTTTATTTTTTATTTTTTAATGTCCAACAGTCTAGTCATTGTCCACTTAATTTTATTTTTTAATGTCCAACAGTCTAGTCATTGTCCACTTAATTATCAGTTAACGTAAATTTAACAGCAACCTGAACTGATGTATGAAAATATTTCAAAATTATAACTTTATGTACCACTTTAAGATGAAAAAAAATTTCATATACTAAATATTAAAAATTAATAAATTTTAGAGTAGTAAACTGAGATTAACTCTTAATTTTATTCGCACAAAACAATATAATATCAAAAAGCATAACATGCGGTTTTACCATTATTATCAATTTTATCACACCAAACAAAAAAAAAAAAAAAAAAAAAAAGAAGACTGAAAATTAACCAAAGATTATCATTTTCTAGCTATTCACAACTGAACATTGCTTCCTAATCTCGCCAGCCGATCCAGTCTTAACGTTAGCCCGACCCATTTTCTCCATAGACTTTCCAAACTCATCGTAGAAGTTCTGCAGCGAACCTTCGAGCAGCTGGTCGATATAATTATAAGTTGTTGGGCTGGTTGCCAAAGCAGCATCGGATTGGAAGAGCGCTCGCCTTTTGAGTATATGTGTGTAGTAGCTTCGGTCAAAAGTCCTGAAGCTTCCAGGATCCATCTCAACAATTGTGGTGTTATCAGTTGGAGTTTTGCACTTGGCCTTGAGCTTCGCCGCGTATTGGGTGTTCAAAGCGGGGTCCTGGTCACCCACTCCGGTGAAATTGTAAAGGCGGTTTGAGAATGATGTGCAATGAGAGATCCCAATTGTGTGAGCACCTGAGAAGAAAAAAACCATATTAACGCATACGGTGTGATTAGATATGGTAGCATTACTGGCACTATTTGATTATTTCGTTGCCAAATGTATTACATATGTTTTTATCTATTTTATCTGTGCATGTTAAAAGTTATTGTATATTGTTTTTGTAGTATACGTTGTTTGATTGTAAATTAACATTTTGATTAACTTAATTATCGTTTATAATTTGTAATTTTGATTCATAATCAACATAGGTCTGATAAGAGAACAATACCACGTATACATTGTGAGTCATATGTAACAGGTAAGATAATTATTTGGTAAGAAGATTCGTTTCCTTTATTTGCATATTTACTATTATGTTTAAGAATTAGCTTTACCAGATAGTAAGACCAAGTCCTTCAAATCAAGACCCACGTTGGCGAAAAATCTTTGGAGATTGCTGACATTGTAAGTTGGCTGTGGAAGGTTGGCTACGGCTTCCGCCGCCCTTGCGATCACCCCATCTCTTCTACCTGTTGGAACCTTCCAAGTTGGACCTCCCTACACACCATGCCCAGAAAACAAATAAATAAACAAAGTTGAAATCCAATAAATAATTGGGACGTTTGATTATTTTGGTTTTCAAACTATGATGGTTGGTTGGAGATCTTACTGTTGCAACAATAGAATCTCTTGCTGCCAAAGCAACAACATCTGCGCATGAAACTATTCCAGGGCATTGAGCTTCAAGTCGGCTTTTTATTCTGTCGATGAAGTCAAACCCTCTGAGGGTTAGATTTGGGGAAGCATCTTTTTCAGCTTGGTTACTTGAAGTCGAGTTCAGAAGAACAGATGCATCACAACCCTAATAAGCAAAAATCATTCATTAGTTCCAAATTACAATTCTAACCCTAATGACTTGCAGAGAATGTTGGTCTGTAAAGAGAAGAAGATGGATACATACCCTGACAAAGCAATCATGGAAGTGCAACCTTAGGAGAGCAGCTGCAAGTGAGGGTGCGTTGTGGATGTGCTTCTCGACGTAGTCTTTCACAATCTTCTCTGCTTTCGGGCAGTTCTTGGCATAGAAACCCAGTTGCAACTGAGCCTCACTGAGGCCTATGATCACCAGAAGACATGAAACCAAAATCACAGAAAATCGAGTCGACCCCATTTTTCGTTGCAACTGAGCTTCAACTTGTATTAATTTGGAGGAAAGAAACTTGATTTGAAAGTATTTGCAATTACAAAACTGTGGTTTGAAATTTATAGGGGCCTCCCCCAAGGCCCCAACTTCAACTATGTGGACCTCTGCAAGATAAGAAAATGAAAGGTGACGAAAATAGTCCACCTATCCAACTAACATGTGCTTGGAAGCGATGCTATATCATTTCTTTAGGGGTGACTTTGAATGCAGTCCCTATTTATCAACGTTCTTTGATTGAAACCTTATTGGTTTTTGGTTCAGAATAGTCCAAGCTTTAAATCCAGCTATTTTGCCCCAGTTTTGGAGCTGATATGGGTCCAAAATGTGGCTGTGCAGAATTTTGGGCGAATTTACCAAGTCAATTTAGAATTATGTTTCCTATTTTATTTCAATTTGTTTGATTTCCTAGTTTGATTCTAAGACCCTTTACTAGGATGATTTAATTAGAGTAGTGTAAATAAGCTATTGTGGCTTTCTTGTTCTTTATGCAAGATTGGAGAGAAGAATTTGGCTAAAGCCTTGAGATTTTCAGACTTTATTCTACAAGGTGTTTTCATTCTTTTTCTAATTTAATACAAGAGGTATTCTTCAATTTACCCCCTGAACTTGTGATCATTGGCCAATTTCCCTCCTCAACTTTATTTTTGGCCAATTGTCCTCCTCAATTCTCATAATTAGTCAATTTCCCCCCTTAACTTTAATTTTGGCCAATTTCCCTCTCAACTCTCATAATTAGTCAATTTGCACTCTACTATTAATTTCTTTTTATTTTCCATCTATTCTTCCGTTAAGTATGTATCCTTTGAAGGGCAAAAAAAGTCAATTTGCATCCTATTGTCATTTTTTCAATTTGCACCCTACTGTCATTTTCCATTACGTAGGTTTCCCTACACCTTATCAGAGGTAGACGAGGCCAAGGGAGGAGGCGACGGGGTGTGGGTAGCTGCAAACTGCAAAAGCAGCATATCAAATGGATTAGGCTGCAAACAGCGGAGGAGGGAGGTGTTGGCTGCAATCACAGGCTCAACATGGAGACAAGGAAGAAGAAGAGAAAGTTCAAAGAAAAGGAAGAAGATCGAAGGTATAGGGAAAATGACTTTTTTGCCTTTTAAAGGCAATCATGCGGATACCTACTTAATGAAATAATAGATGGTAAATTAAAAAAATTAACAGTATGGTGCAAATTGACTGATTATGAGAGTTGAGGGGGACATTGGCCAAAATTGAAGTTGGGGGGGGGTGGTGGAAGGAATTGGCCAATCCTTACAAGTTTAGGGGGTAAATTGATGAATACCTCTTAATACAATTATGTTGATTTTAATTATGAATATGCGTAGCTAATTTTCTTTTGATAGGGTGATGCCTTGAGCCTTATCTAATTTTAATTATAAATTGTTTTAAATAATCCATGCGGAAAACGACCTTACCCGAGCCGTTTATACTATAACAACCTTGTTCTCTTGCAAGTATTTTGTATGATTTTAACATCTGTTCGCAGGTACCTAAAAATCCTATCACTACACATCAAAAACACGAAAAACTATATAAGTAAATGTAGAATATGCGTAGCTAATTTTCTTTTGATAGGGCGATACCTTGAACCTTAACTAATTTTAATTATAAATTGTTTTAAATAATCCATACAGAAAACGATCTTGCCCGAGCTGTTTATATTACAACAACCTTGTTCTCTTGCAAGTATTTTGTATGATTTTAACCTTTTTTCGCAGGTACCCAAAAATCCTATCACTACACATCAAAAACACGAAAAACTATATAAGTAAATGTAAAGCCAGTATGCCTTAATTAGTATATCTGCCATTCTAATATTCACAGATACAGATTATACATAGGTTAGACAAGTACGTGCGAGTTTTCTTTTTCTCCTCGTATCTCATCTTTGCTTTGTCCCTTGCTTGCGGACAATCCACGACCTTGGTAATCAGGATTGCTTTCCCAGCTGATGCTGGACAGTGAAAGTGACATGCTCGGATGAACTTGTTGCGTGGTAGGAAATCCAAGGTTGACGCTTCTGCTACAAGTAGGATTCATGAATAAGCAGTTTGCATTACCATTCATGCCTGGCATCTATCTGATCCACAAGAGGATCCTGATGGTGATGCCTATGGAAAAGAATAGTCATGCGCATTGTTTGGATTCATAAGCATAGAAATTTAGAATTTCCGCATGGAAAAAAAACTTGGAATTTGGGACCTGCCTATGGAAAAGAATAGTCATGCGCATTGTTTGGATTCATAAGCATAGAAATTTAGAATTTCCGCATGGAAAAAAAACTTGGAATTTGGGACCTCCAAATCCCAAGTTCAAATTCCATGTAAATAGGTGTCATTTCTCAATTTCTATGATTGAGAGTTTAAAAATAACAAATTCTGTATTCAATTCCATTCTTCTTTTAGGTTAACCAAACAAGAAAATTTATAAATTCTAGAAAATAAAATCTCGTCATTTCAATTTCCGTCATTTTTAAATGTCTCAGTAATCTTAAATTTCTTCACCCAAACGTAGTGTAAGCTCATAGAATCATTCCTTGAACTTCAAAGCATAGAAATAATTATTTCTTGCAGTCAATCATAAAAAATTTGTTAATATGGTAACTAGCAGCTCCTAATAGTTACACGTTTTTACCAAGTAATGTGTAGAAATGGATTGCTAATAGCAGCAATTTGATTGTCACAGAGACAAGGAAAATTACTATATATCCTGTGCCAGCAGAATCATTTCATTCCATTTCTAATATATCATTAATTGGTGTAAAATTGACTAACTATTTGGTATCAATCACAATTGTTGAATCAATCAAAATTAAATATCGACCACATATTAATATTCATAACATAGTGATCACATATTAATGACATAGAGACAAGATAATTACGACGTATTGAAAATTTGACTACGTCAGAAATTGTGGTTTGAAAAACAACAATTTTGACCAATTCCTGCAATTAGTCATTATCTATTAATGACATAGAATAAAAGAAAGATACTTTCATGAGAAAATATGATCCTGATTTATTACTAATGCAAGTCTGATCCTGATTTATTGCCACTACAGCTGATCCAAGTGGCTGATCCCAGTTACTACTTTCAAAATTACCACCTGAAGAAGAAGATCCTTCAAGAACTGAAGACCAAATTCTCGAAAACTGAGACAAACTAGGGCAACCCGTGTAGCAAGTCAATGCATGAGTCCTATGTCCCCCCTGTTGGGTCTTTCCTCCTAGCTATAATCTATGACTGGAAATCATAGTTCATTGCGGGAATCCGTAGCGTTTTATGGTTTCAAGCTCCAACCACAGAAAAGCTTGCTCTTATCCTTCATCATTTTCAAACAAACAAACAAAAACAAAACGTATCAGCAACACAACATTAATTACAAAATCGCAGATCAAGAAACACAAATATCTAACCAAGAACCTCAGTAATATGCTCCAAAACAACAGTAGTGTATAGTTACAAACTGATAGTGAGAAGAACTTTATTCTATTTTCATTTCACTTGGAAAAAATTGCGTAAAATATATTTTTATATATTTATACGTATACATAACATAACCGGAACAACTAATTAGAGTAATTGCAAGCGCTCACCGGCCGGAAATGGAGCGAATTCCTGCCGAAACCATCAAAACAATATCAGCCAGGATCAACAAACATGCATTCCATTGGTGAGCGCATCAAATTCAAGATTTTTTTAATTATTAAAAATGATTTTTTAAAATCGAAAATAAGAAGTATCGACGGTTAGAAGTTACGTAGTAGCAGCAAAAAGGGGGTAGCCTAGCCGGGTAGGTTTGCATTTGTTGTCATTCAATGAGGGTTTCGAGGATGGAGGCTCTGAGAGAGAGGGGGAGAGTGTGACATCCCACATCGCCTAGGGGAGTGATCCTTAAATGTATATTCCCATCCATACCTAGCGCGAGGCCTTTTGGGAGCTCACTGGCTTCGGGTTCCGTATGAACTTCGAAGTTAAGCGAGAAGGGGGCTAGAGCAATCCCATGATGGGTGACCCACTGGGAAGTTGCTCGTGAGTTCCCAAAAACAAAACCGTGAGGGAATGGTAAGCCCAAAGCGGACAATATCGTGCTACGGTGGTGGAGCGGGCCCGGGAAGTAATTCGCCCCGGGCCGGGATGTGACAGAGAGAGAGAGCAATGGGGAGGGGTAGGGTCTCAGCGCTGTTGCTACATATAGATTTCACAAGTGCGAGAGGTGGGGATGGTCAGAGAAAACCATAAGGGTCGTCAGGATTTCTGGGAGAAGGGTAGGTGTCATGAATAGAGGCAATTGAGGGTGATGTCTGCCGGATCTTGCGCTTCATGCCTGATTTCCAAAAATAAGTTGATTTTTTAATGTAAAAATGTGATTTTTCGTTAAAGTGAATAACAGTGGTAGTTTTTCGTTAAAATTCTCTTTTTTAATTCAGTTCTTTACTGTTAGCTTAGATTGTCATCATTTTTGCTTTTTTATTGTGAATTATTTTCGAATTTTTTAGTACGTTAGGTCAGGTTTTGGGGGATTCATCTCTCTATTTATTCCCTTATTTGTTTCATTTTCTCTCATTTTGGGGATTCATCTCTCTGTTCTGTCTGTTTGTTCTTTGTTATAAGGTCACTGGCTTCTTTTTTTTTTTTGGGTTTTTTTTTTTGTGGGTTTTCAGTTCGTTAATTTGTGACTCTGTGTTTAGATTTTTGTTTCGTATATGATTAAATCGGTATTGTGTTTAGTTATGTTTATGTGAAAATTGAGAACAACAATGATATCGGTGCTATTAGTGGAATTCTTCTTCACAAATCAATCAAAATCCACTTATATGTGGTCATTTTTCGACTCAGCTCCTCCTTTGAAGAACAGCGATGACATCAGTGGAAAGCTTGAGGGATTTGAGAAGAAGCATTCGACACCTTCCAGTATGTCTACCTTTTGATTTGCCGCATTTATATTTGTCATTTCTTTTTTCTGGGTGATAGAGTAAGATTAAGTGGGTTTTGATTGATTTGCACCACGTTCATTTGTCTGTGTGTTGGTTGCTTTCTGCCCTTTGCTTCTCAAGAAACCGAATGCAGGTTCCTTTTCCATTTCTTATTTACATACCCCTTTAATGAATGTCCATAATTTAGGCTTTGATTGCTGGCTGGTGAATGTGTAATTTGATGGTCAAATTGAACTGCATTTGTAGTTTAGAAGTAGGTTATGAGGTGGTGGACTACTCTTGGGAACTTGCATAATACTGAGTGGGGTATTCTGCTCTGGTTCTCTTCATGTTTCACGTAATTGCTACTTTAAGGACTTATGACAGCATTAGAGATGGGAAAGAATATGATATATATGTCAAAGGTAATTTTGTTATCCATTCAATTTTGATGGTGGTCTTTATCTTTAGTTATGTTTATGCTCTATGTTGTATTTATCCATGTACATGTGCATGCGTGTGTGTGTAGATTGATCATCTAACAAACAAACATGCTAAAACTATAGAAAATGAAAATTATATGTATTATTGTGTAAAGGGGCTGCCTTTCTATTTTTTTTTGTAGTATACTACTTTTATTATGCTAGGCACCATTCTCTATCATTCAGAAGTAATTTGCACACAACAATTTAGAACGTTTTATGTGTAAATTTCTAAAATCATGATACTATTGATGGTTGCTCTATAAGCTGCGAAATTTGGTGTAAGAAAATCTTAGCTGTGAATTTTTTTTCTTGGTGAACTTGATGACATTACTAGGTTCATAGTGTATTGAGGTTGGATGATTTCTTAGTTGCAGTCTTGAAGTGTAGGAACTGTGGAACTTGCAATGGTTGGCAGGCAATGCAGTGTACCATGTGCAGAGGATTAGGGAGGGTGCAATACCAAGTGAAGAATTACACCTTGAGAAGGTAGACTTTCCTTCATTTAGATTTTGACCTCTATGTTTGGAAAATAAGGTTTGTGATTTTGGTATGCATATGTGGTTCTTGGTTTTAAGAACAAAAGTTACTTTTGTTTTGAAATTGCAAGTTAGTTGGTGTCTGTGTCTATGTGTGTGTTTTGTGAATTTGTTTTTAGGACTAAAGTTATATTGGTTTTGAAATAGCATGCTTGATTCATTCAAAAGTAAGAAAAAATGGGATTTTTAGTTGGTTTAGATAATCTTTTATACAAAGTTTTAAAATGCCATGCTTGATTCATTCAAAAGTAGGAAAAAATGGGATTTTTGCAGTGAAATTGTCCTGTTTTGGTTCAATGGTTTAGGCAATATGGACAAAAGTTACATTGGTTTTCAAATGGCATGCTTGATTCATTCAAAATGACCAGAGAATTAACTGTTCTAATCAGTAATTCCACACTCTGAGAACTTGAGACCTTGGACTGATATGCATTTCTGAGATTTACTTTTTTTATATTTTTTTTATAGAATATTTAAAGGTGGTTTCAAACTTTTAGTGTAATTATAAAAGTATGGGTCTTTGATTCCATATAATTGCTGTTTATATATGTGAATTCAAGAGGGGAGCATTTGTATGTGGAGGGAATAAGGAGGGGTGGTTTTGAGAAGGTTTGGCTATCTATTTTATCTGTAGTTCTTCATTTCACTAAATTAAAAATGAATTATTAATTTTTCAATTTTAAAACAAAAGATAAAAGAAAATCATATGTACTTAATTATATATATAATATGTGTAGGTAGTTACAGAGAAGAAATGGAGGGAAGTGGGAGGTGCTTTCATGTCCTCCCCAACAACAACAAGCGCTTTGTTTGTGCTGAGGAAACACTACTTAACCCTTGTCTACCATTACAAACAGGTTCACTTTTTTAGGCACAGGGTTCTTTATCTACCCCGACACCCTCACCCTCACCCTCAGGTACTCATTTACTTCTTACTGCTCTTATTTTTTACGTTTTTTTTTTTTTTTTTTTTTTACTGTTGCAATTGCCTTTTGATTTTTGTATCTTGACTGCGGATATCATATGTGACCTTTTTGCTCATAAGTGCTTCCTTTTTCAGGATCTTTTTGCACTGCCGGCTTTTGCTTTTATGTTTTTGGAGGTTCTGAAAAAAGTTCAGAGCTATTGAAATGTTACTACTTACAAGTTCATATTTTTGCAGTATTTTTTGTTGCAGTCCTCGCAACCTTCTCATTCTTGAACATTATATATGATCATGCTCTACAATGAGTAGCCCGTTCTGGCAAGGCTGCGCCCTGTTATTTCTAAAGTGCAAAGTTGACTTGGTAATTAAGATGCCTTACATTTAAGAAACTAGGCGTAGATAACGGCTTAGATGAGAAGTTTTTAGTTTGCCATCCTGATATTCGAGTCACACAATTGGTATAGTATGCCACTGTCTCACAGTAGTTTGGAAATTACCATTGCTGCAAAATATGTAAGTTGTTGTGAGGGATGTTTGTAGCAAACGTATGTTGTTCTTAAGGTTTAGGATTTGCGAAGTTCTTCGCTACATTCTTTGGCTGAATATCTAGCATATAGTCAGTTACCATACTAATTTGATCCAATGAAGAAACAGAAATGAATGATTTGTGTAATTTAACTAAATGGTGACTCAAAAGAATCATTATTGAAAACATGATTGAGTTCAGAATATATATGCAATGAAAGAAAATTCATAGAAAAAAAGTGGGGTTTATTGTTCTATGAATCACAGTCATGTCAGTACTAGGAACGTGATGCGAGCATGGATGCAGGTAGACTATTTTAGCCAATAAGGCCTTGCCTTGCAGCTGAAGAAGAGAGAGTTTTTCTGCTGATATATGCCTCAGAAGCTCCTTGTCACAAGTGGATCGTAATCATATTCTTCGCCAGCCTTAATAAATCTTCCTTTGACGCGTTTTCTAGTATCAGCTCTGGCCTTCCTAGAGGCATATCTTATTTGTTTACCAAACCTACACATCAAAAACACGAAAAACTATGTAAGTAAATGTAAAGCCAGTATGCCTTAATTAGTATGTCTGCCATTCTAATATGCACAGATACAGATTATACATAGGTTAGACACGTACGTGCGAGTTTTCTTTTTCTCCTTGTATCTCATCTTTGCTTTGTCCCTTGCTTGTGGACTGCTAGCCTCCAAAGTTGACTCCCAAGGCTCTCCGGCCAGAAAGACTGGTGACAATCCACGATCTTGGTAATCAGGATTGCATTCCCTGCTGATGCTGGACAGTGAATGTGACATGCTCGGATGAACTTGTTGCGTGGTAGGAAATCCAAGGTTGATGCTTCTGCTACAAGTAGGATTCATGAGTAAGCAGTTTGCACTACCATTCATGCCTGGCAGCACAGTATCTGATCCACAAGAGGATCGAAAAGCCACACAGTCTCGTTGGCCTGATGATGATGCCTATGGAAAACTATAGTCATGCGCATTGTAAATAAAGCCGGTCGAGTCGGAATGCAACCGGATATACAACGAAAGGAAAAGAATTCTGGTTCAGTCATTTTTATCAAACTTTTAGCTCACAGAATCATTCCTTGAACTTCAAAGCATAGAAATAATTATTTCTTGCTGTCAATCATAAAAAAATTGTTAATATGGTAACTAGCAGCTCCTAATAGTTACATGTTTTTAACCTACCAATAAAAAGGCTAGCTGCACCAAGTAATGTGTAGAAATGGATTGCTAATAGCAGCAATTTGATTGTCACAGAGACAAGGAAAATTACTATATATCCTGTGCCAGCAGAATCATTTCATTCCATTTCTAATATATCATTAACTGATGTAAAATTGACTATTACTATTTGGTATCAATCTCTTTTGTTGAATCAATCAAAATCAACTATCGACAACATATTAATATTGATAACTTAGTGATCATATATTAATGACGTAGAGATAAGACGTATTGAAAAATTGACCATGTCAGCAATTGTGGTTTGAAAAACGACAATTTTGACCAATTTCTGTAATTAATCATTATCTATTTAATTCAAATCTCAAATCAGAGTAATCATAGAATAAAAGAAAGATACTTTCATGAGAAAATATGAAATGAAATTGGAGTATGCGAGGACCTGTGCAGCATTCTCGTTAGGACCATTAGACTCAGTGACTGGTATGTTTTTCTCCATTAACAGGCAATCCATTTCTCCATCCTCAAACTGGTATCTGGAAGGAACTCGTGGACAGAATATCCCATCAGGATTTTCGAAGTTCATTGGAACATCATCAATGTTGAGGCCATCACATAGAACATTGCTATCCTGAATTGCAAGATCTTTGAAATTGTTATATCCCTGAAGCACATGAAGTGGTATAGCAATGCATTAATTAATCAAGTTTAATTCATAAGGGGTATATTAGATAGCACATAATGATGAAGAAAACTAGTTTAATGTGCCTCTATATGATTTTTGCAGCTTTAATTATTAATTAAGTCCTTTTGAGGCCTCCTAAAGCAAAGTTCATTAGTCCGATTCTTGCCGCCACAAAATTTACTTGCATTATTCATCATCATCACCAAAAACCTTACTTTCTGAAAGATATATATATATATATATATATATATATATATATATATATATATATATCTAAAGGAAAACTAATGAAAATAGCTTGAAAACTTTGAGTTTTAACGATAAGGACAAATTAAAGGGTAAAGTGAATAGTATCAGGATTGACTTTTTAACATAAAAATATGATTTTTCGTTAAAATGAACAGTACTAGGAGCTTTTCGTTAAAGTTCCCTATATCTAATCCCTTCTTATGAGGATTTTTTTATAAAGAATAAAATAAAACAATTATTTGCATCGCACTATTGAGGTCGCGCAACAATGTGCTTCAATAATCCGAACCATTTAATTTGAGATCATCCTTGCAAAGAATCGACAAAAGTCGAAAAATTGTTTGACTAATATGAACATTTATGTGTTTATGGGAAACACTATGTTTGTCAATTTATTTGGTCATAATTGGAAGACTAAATAGTTTCCAATTTAATTGAATTCTTGTAAGGATGATCCATGAAAAAGGACCTAAGAAATAAATGGCTCGGATCATTGAATCGCATTCAAGATTGAAGTGAAAAACTGTCTAATTCTTAATACGATCCAATCATCCAAACCATCTTAAGAAGGATACCGCAAATATGTCAATCTATAGTTGCATTAAAATACCATAACTCGTTGGTACAGAATGTTACCTTTGGCAGGCTAGACTCCTGAGGCAAGAAAGGTGTTTGATCTTTACCGTAAGGCATGCAAATCGGATTCGATGGAATCAAAGTAGAACTACTAGCTAACCAAGGATCAAACTTGCGGCCACAAGACTGATCTAATGATGATCCTCCATTCAAATTGCCAGCAGTCACAACCAACCCAAATGGTCTTTCATTACTATCTCTACCTTCCAAACCATTATTACTAATGCAAGTCTGATCCTGATTTATTGCCACTACAGCTGATCCAAGTGACTCCCAGTTACTACTTTCAAAATTACCACCTGAAGAAGAAGATCCTTCAAGAAACGAAGACCAAATTCTCGAAAACTGAGACAAACTAGGGCAACCCGTGTAGCAAGTCAATGCATGAGTCCTATGTCCCCCCATCCCACCTACTGCTGAAGCAGTAGTGGTTCCATTAATACTATTATTGTTATGATTCCAGTGATCACAGCTTTGACATAATGACATCTTCTCATCTGTACATCGTACAATAGCAGGCTGAGCATTGCACTTGTCGCATAGAAGGGAACGAGGGTGCCTGCGTGATAAACCGTTCGCTGAGTGCACACATCCATCACAGTGAAAGCAAAGGCGAGCCATATCCGATCTACAGTAGACAACTGCCCTTTCCACCCCACAGAACACACATAGAGGCTCCATCTTCTTCTTTTTTGTTTCCTTTTTTTTTTTTTTTGAGGGGATATAAAAATATATGAACTGAATATATTTAAAGATGAATAGCTCTCTTCTTCTCTAATTAACCTACTAATTAATTACTACTCTTATTACTGTTATTGCTTATTCCTCCTAGCTATAATCTATGACTGGAAATCATAGTTCATTGCGAGAATCCGTAGCGTTTTATGGTTTCAAGCTCCAACCACAAAAAAGCTTTCTCTTATCCTTCATCATTTCAAACAAACAAACAAACAAAAAAAACATATCAGCAACACAACATTAATTACAAAAATCGCAGATCAAGAAATATAAATATCTAACCAGCTGGAACCTCAGTAATATGCTCCAAAACAACAGTAGTGTATAGTTACAAACTGATAGTGATAAGAACTTAATTCTATTTTCATTTTACTTGGAAAAAATTGCGTAAAATATATTTTATATATTTATACATATATATAACATAACTGGAACAACTATTAGAGTGATTGCAAGCGCTCACCGGCTGGAAATGGAGCGAATTCCTGCCGAAACCATCAAAACAATATCAGCCAGGATCAACAAACATGCATTCCATTGGTGAGCGCATCAAATTCAAGATTTGTTGATTATTAAAAATGAATTTTTTTAATCGAAAACAAAAAGTGTCGACGGTCAGAAGGTACGTAGTAGTAGCAATCAGAACTCAAAACCTTGACTTTGACGCAGTTCATCAGCCGAGTAAGGAAAAGGTAGGTAGGGTTTCTTTAGGGTTTGTTATTTATTCACATTTGTCCTAGGGTTTCTTGTGGTTGACACGTAGCAAGATGTGGGCCTGGGGGATAGATAAGTCGAAAAAGGAGGTGGGTCAGTGATAAAACTCAATAACAAACTGATCGACAAGTCAGCGTTAGCTCCGGACTTCAACGATCACGGTTGAGATGTTGGAGAAATTTTTAATTGTGACGGAAACATAAATGATATACCATGTATTTTAATAGAAGTTGTGAAAAATTTTATTGTTTAAGTTATTATCTTTTTAGCACACATATTTCACTATTTATATAATGATACGTGGTGTACCATTCCATGTACCAATCACACTAAAAAACCTCTCGAGATGTGGGGATTTAGGAGAAACCTTCGGATTTTATGTTTTGAGAAGTCATTGAGATTGAGGTTTGTTTTCAGGGTTGTATTGTTTTCAATTTGGAGGGTATTAGAGTCTATTCAAATGTGATTTTGGCCATATTTGAAGATTTTTATAAAAATTTGAAAAACGTGAAAGAATCATGGTACTACACTAAAGGCCACAACTTAATTTTCAACCTTGGCAAACATGTCCGCAACCTTGGCTCCGTGCCACTAGAAGGTTCTGATCATTACATCATTACACATAGATTAAAACCATATTCAATTAGACTTGGAAGCATTTTTAAGTGAAATGTCAAATGTATGATTTTGAAGTTTTATTTAATAGCCGCATGAGGATCTCAAATTTGACATTTCTTTAGATCAATATGCTAATCATACACTAGAACTCAAAAGTACAAATTCATAATCCTTGAAAGAAGCAAATTGAAGTGAGAAACACAGTTAATAGGGTTATTCGATTTCTGTCAATTAATCTCAACGATTGGCCTTAGGACCCAACAAGCTCTTGCTCCACGTTGGGTTATATGGGAACCTTTTGGAGAGTCCTCTGTGAAACTTAACGTTGACAGCTTGGTTGAAGCTTCGATCACTAGTACTGCTGCTCTGGATGTCACAATTCATAACTCTGCTGCTTGCTGTTGCTTGCAGGTGAGAGATTAATTATCGAAGCCAAAAAGACCTTAGGGCAAGGCCTATCTTACCTCTTGGAAACACCGGTTGTATTTTTGTGCATTCAGATCGAGGGCTAGGGTTACTGATCTAATTGGGTGTGTGTGTGTGAGTAATTAATTAGTAAATCAAATTCTGCGTCTGGGTTGGTTGGGACTTGTGAGGCTCCCCGCAGTTTTCGTTGTATTATATTCACACAAACAAACATAATTATGGAGTATTGATAATTATGTGAAGAAAAAAAAAATTGATGAACAATTATGTGACATTTAACTTTATATGAATATTCTTGTTCCAAAAAAAAAAGTTTTTGAATATTCTAATCTATAAGGTTGTGGATATGGCTGTGACATGTGTTGGAATCTTCTGGAATCTCAAACTCATGGTGAAATCTTACGTTATTTGTGGTCTCGGCTCGTAGAGAATTTTGGGGCATATCTTTAGGTGTTATTTGTGCATTTTAAAGATCATTTTTGAATAAAAAAATCATTTATTTATATTTATTATTGTTTTGTTAATCACTGAAAATTTGATGTGTATTTGGCATCTCATATGTAGGAGAGAGATGCTCTAACAAAATACTTAACCATCTTGTCTAACCCCTATTTTTTACTTACTAACCACTAACTTTCTCCTTACGTGATTCAAGGATAAAATGTTCATGTAGTACTAATATTAAAGTTTAATTTGTGTGTTTGAATGAGGGATTTTCAAATAATAATAAGGGATTTAGGCTACATTATTAAGAACTGCATTATATTACTAATGTAGTCTAAATTCTTGTACTTAATTTTCATCCAAATCCAGTGGTAATGATGAATTGTGTTTCTGGATATAGGTGTAAGGTTGCATGGAACGATCTACGGTCATATAAGAGTGTTGCTACTTAGATATTCTTGCACTTACTCACCAATTATCACCACTCTAATTCATTAGGATCTCACATATACATAGCTTCTATTAGGAGAAGGACTTCCATGACACGGGTATATAAATCATCATCGTAGCGTCCCGTGCAATGAAATGAATACGTGTGTAAATTTTTGTTCACATGCTCTTATTTATTGGCATGAGACGTTACATAATGGTGTACTGGTGTCATATAAGTTGTTCTCATCAATTACACATATGTGATTAGCTAGCAAGGTGCTCGCCAAATGTATTAGAAACACGTTATTCCTTGTGTAAATAACATAACATTCGTGTAAATATCAGTTTATAATTAATGATGATATTACTTAAATTTTACAAATAAAACCTTCCTACCGTAGGCACCACCATACATGGAACTTCCACAAATTCATCTTCCTCTTTATTCATGCACCACACTCAATAAATGATAATAATAAAATTATTCAAGACCTTGACCAAGGAAAAAAAAGTAAGACGATGAAGATTTATTTTTAATTTCAAAAGTTGTTGATCATAGATAGGATGGTGGCTGTAATTCTGGAATATAATAACGAGTATCTTCAACAAAATCATCAAGCTGATCGGGGCTGGCTGCTGGATGATCGGAGTTATCCGTGCGTGCCGGAGCATCGGAGTTATCCGTGCATGCCGGAGCATCGGAGTTATAATCCCTTCCTCCCCGCCTCCCCCATTGCTTTCCGTTGCATGGAGAGTCTCTGCCGATGACACAAGGCCCATAGTGAGCCTCCTCAGCACGAACTGCTACAGCAGCCAGAAAAACCACAACCAAAATTGTCAACAACTTCCACATTTTTGCTTGCTTGTTGGAGTAGCGGTGGGAGTCTTGGGGACATGTGGAGTCAACTTATATATAGCTACGTACCACTGAAATTCGACTAGTAATCACTTTTCCTAAAAGTAATTAATTTGAATAATTCAATTCTATCTCACGTTATGAAGTTAAACGGATGTAGGTTACTAGTTTGTTTATTATTCAATATGTAGCTAGTGCTTTGCAATTTGCTACACTAACTAATTACGCTTAATACATATAATGCATGCCGGTTTTGGGTTGCTTCAGCTTGCAGTTGTTGTAAGCTGTGCTAGGGTTACATTTGTTTTTTGTCAATGTGCTAGGGTTTACATAAATTGAATAGATTATCAACTTTGTATATATTCTAATTAAGAATACAACAACATGCTTCATTATATTCATAAAGAAACATAATGAAAAATTAAATTGAAAAAAGAATACCAAGGTTGAAGAATTAAAAAGATGAAAAAGAGTATTTAATTTGTGATCGTGAAGATTGGCACTGGCTTAGGAATTTATATTGGTGGGATGGGCTGGATGAGAATAAAACCATTTTCATTAAAATTCCTTTAGATTAAATGCGAATTTTGGACCTTAAAGGAAAGTAGGATTTTTTTTTTGTCAAAAGGGACAGGGTTCGAACCCACACCATCATGCAAATGCTTAATTTTTTTCATCACTATGATAAAAAGCCACTTACTAACCTCTTTAGTTGATTGTTTGTAATTTGGTTGCATTCGTTGTATTCACTTCGTTACTTGGGATTTTATGCCATAAAAGAGACGACGTTCCTCGTTTTAAAATTTCTCCTGTTTTTTGAGAAAATGATTTTTCTATTTAATTTTCTTTTCTGTTACAAGACATAGTGTGGAAGGAAGGGGAATTGAGGGAAGCCCAAAAAAAAAAAGGTTAGTTGTAGTTGATATCGAAATCTTATACTTAGAAAGAAAATAAAATAACACTAAATGACAAATTTAGTGTCCGATAAATGAAATCTTCTCCTTACACCTGCAACCTCATACACAGTCATGTGAAGCTTATAAAACGTTGATTCAACATTTTTGTTTTAGTGTTAAGTTTTGTTGTACAATGAAAGAGGAGTGGCTTTGAGAAGATAAATCCGCATTTGAAATAATGACTATTTTATAACACTGTATATTAGTGCTCGTATAACAGTGTTTTCAAACAACTAAAAGCGTTTTTAGATAAAATGTTTTTGGAAACAAACGTTAGTAAAAATGCAAGTTAGTTTTGAAAAAAGCACTTGAAGTGCTTCCAGCAAAAACCATAACAGGTGCTTTTAGTAGGAAACACTTTAAGTACTTTTAGAATCCAAAAACATTTTATCTGAAAGCGCTTTTAGTCATTTGAAAGCACTTGCTAAACGAGTTCTTAATTTTTTAGTAATAATTTAGGGTATTCAACAGTATATAAGATGCTAATAAAACCTGGTAAATGTATGTTTATAAGAAGGAGACGAGGGAAGGCATCTCTTTCCAATTTTGATGCTTCTCATTTTCATCGTCTCAAATAAAATGGACCAATGAACACGTTTTCGAAGGCGAAACCAAACAAGCCTTAAACTACAATTTAAATCCCTAAAACTCCCCCTTCAGTTATTGAAAATTTCAAATTAGGTCCTTTTATAATTTCTAATTGCCATTTTACGTCTTCCCTCTCCTG